CCAGAGATTGGGAAACTGCTTCTGCAAAGCTTCCAAAACAAGCCAGGTCACTGTCTGGAAGACACCGGAGACCAGCAGGGTGTGCATGCTGTCGTGGCAATACTGTGAGACCGGCCGGACCAGCCATCGTTGATCCTCTTGTTGCAGCAGGGAACAACTATTATAAGTCCAGCCGGTGGCTTGCTGCCACGTGCTGAAATCTGCAGCATTCAGAAGCATCTTCTTCTCTGCCAGTTTAGCCATGGCCTCGTGGATGGATTGGTCGGTCGCAAGCGAAAGCTTACTTTCTCGGATCTCAGAGGAACCGACCACGGGGAGCCCGCTGCTGTGCAGGATATCACATCGTTGTGCTATTACATTCCTGCACAGCATGCACATGCGGGTGCCAGCATCCCCCTTGCAGCTCCATAGAGCTTTATGGGCACCACCGTCTTGAACGATCATTGACAAAACCACCCGGAAGAGGACGGGCGGACCTCCTGGTCGCTGCAACGATATGCACCCGTGCTCCAAATGGTTGGCCGGCCGCATGAATATGTCTCGCAGGATTTTCGAGATCCATTGAGAGACACCTGCTTCGGCCTTGGCCATCAGGCTGGATCGGAGCAGTCCTATGCATAGCCACGACTCCTCGTGCTGCAATGCATAGCTTCCAAGTTCTACGAACGAGGCATAGCAAGCCCAGATTTTTCTCTTCGTCTGGACTGCCAAAGGATTACCCGGCACGATCTCGTCCGTATAGAGGATCAGCCGCCATGCCGAGCTGGGGCTCGGAGGATTCTTGTCGATGCACGCCCAAAAATATTGGGCGAAGTTGCTGTCGGCATCCGAGATAGCAGCTTGCAGCAGAGCCCAAAAATCGACACTGGGTATCTGCAGCTCTGCACCATCTGTCTGCAAAAGTGACAGACGATTGAGGATCCTATTCTCTTTCAGGGGTTGCCAGGCAGCCTCGGCTATATGTTTTCTTTGTGTGAGTTCCGGGACACCCTCGTCCCGCAGAACTTTGCAAACTTCGGACAAAGCCGAGGCTGTGAGATGGGGCAATTTCCTTCTCAGAGCATTCACCTTCTGAAGCTTCGCTGGTCTTTCAGCAAAAGCATCGGTGCTGCTGGAGGCCATGGCCCTATATCACCACGGCACCGCACCAACAGCAAATGCCGGAACATCTCCGTGGAGAGTTCCTTCTTCTCCCTGTGCCTGCAGCAGCAAGCAGCCACATACACGCCTCCGTGGAGGCTTCCACACGCCTCCGTGGAGGCTCCCACACGCCTCCGTGGAGGCTTCCACACGCCTCCGTGGAGGCTTCTCGCATCCTTGGATGCTGGGTCTCCATGGCAACAACAAACCAAGCTACAGGACGGGTGACACAACAAATGGCCCCAGGAAGGGGTGCCTGTCTGCGAACACAACTGCACCAAACCTTGTCTGTGCTCGACTCTGGGCATCTGTATGCATGCTGCACGGCTGCTTGGGCCCTGCTTTCCGCTGCTCAGAGAACACATTTCGGCAGGCCCACAAAACCCTCAAAATATGATATGGAAAAAACTATATCATATGAAAACAAAGTCAATCATATGATATAGTAGAAACTATATCATATGAGGCCAAAATATTACATATGATATAGAAAAAACTATATCATATGATATCTGGCCCCACAGACTTATATGATATAGTAGAAACTATATCATATGGCAAGCGATGCCATCATATGATATAGAATATGCTATATCATATGGTTTCCTTTCAATATATATGATATAGAAAAAACTATATCATATTTTCTACGTTTGAATAAGGTTCCAATCTTAAGGATAACCGAAAATTATTCTTAAAAAAAAAACCCATAAACCCTAAACCCTAGAAGAGAAAAAAGCGCGGAGACACTCTTTTTTTCACCAGACGGCAGCCGGCACTCTGGTTTTTCGGGGAACGGCAGGCGGCTGCCGAGCTAGTACCGCTGCTGAAGCTCCTGGCAGGCGATTTGGAAAAGGCTCGTCACCACTTTCCCGTAGGAGCTCCCAGACCCTCCTTCCGGATCGTCCGGGTCCTTCTTGTCCGGCATTGGGACGTGATCATCGTCCCGTACCGGCGACTCCTGTCGCTTACGTTTGGCCTTAGCCTTGCTGCCCTTAGCCTTGCTGCCCTTCTTCTTGTCCTGGCCGGTCTTGCCAGCCTTAGCTGGCAAACTCCTGGGCAAAAGCTTCACCGGCTTTCGATCCTCTTTGTCATCCTCGGGCTCAATCAGGGAGATTGTCTCTCCTGCCCCCGGCTTTTTTCTCTTCTTCGTGCCCTTAGCCTGCTCAGGACGGCCCTTCTCAGCTTCGGTATGGGCCTTGGCCCCCGAGGGGCCGGAGCCGCCTCTCACATCACCATAGCCATATCCCTGGCCCTTGTCGCCATATCCCTGGCCCTTGTCGCCATATCCATGGCCCTTGTTGCCGGAATCCCGCCGCAGCTCCCACTTTGGGACTTCGGATTCCTCTTCGCTCTCCTCTTCCCTCCCGGGCTGCCAGTGCTCCTGGAACCGGCGCTTTGCCCGGCCTGCAGCAGCCTCCTTGCTGAGCCCTTGGGCTATGTATTTCCAAGTTCGGTGAAACACCGACAATCGGTGCTGGCGACGGGCGGCCGCATGCTCCTGTATCCACCTCCAGCAAATGGGGCACTTTTTGGACGGGCCCTTGGGCCCGTCCGAAGGCTTGTTGTCCTTCTTCTCATCTGCTGCCTTCTCATTTGCCCCCTTCAATTTTTCATCCACCTCCTTGTCCTTTTTCTCTGATCTCTCTCGTTCGCTTTTCTTTTCATCCTTCTCCTTCTCCTTTTTATCCTTCTTTCCCTTTTTTTTATCCTTCTTTTCCTTTCTGGCCTGCTCTTCTTCTGCCCAGGACTGGAGAGCTGCCTGGGATGCCGCGACCCTGGCTGTTGCAAGCTTTCTCTCCAGCCTCTGCCTGCCGGCGGCACTTATCGGCCAATCAGCAGCGGTCTTCTCATCCAGAGAAGGGACTCTGGGCTTCGAGGCCGCAGCCTCCGAGGCCGCCTCCTTTGGCTTCGAGGCCGTAGCCTCCTCCGGCTCCTCCTCCGGATCCTTTTCTTTGTCCTCGGACTCAGTTGCCTCCTCGGAGGCCACAGTTTCCTCCTCAAAGTTCTCCTCCTCCTCTTTCTTGTTCTCGTTCTCCTCTGGCTTTTTGTTGCCATCCTCCTCCTTTTTCTTTTGGTCCTCGGACTCTTCGTGAGATCTCGACCGTAGTCGAGGATCTCGTCGTTCTTCTCTATCCTCTGAGCTCGAGCTCCTCCTCCTTCTATCCTGGTCCCGGTGCTTGGGCATGGCCGACGACTTCGCCTGGCCAGGACAAAAAAAGGGTTTATAGAGGATCGGGGAGGGTATAGGGTTTAGGGAAGATCCCTTAAGCCAGACTCTTTTTAGCACATGTATATATATATATATACATATAGTATTTGGTGCATGCCGTGGCATGCACCCACGAGGAAACCGTGGTCTCCTCTCCCAAAGCAAAGCAAACCGTGGTCTGCTTGCTTTGCATGCTTGCCAGCAGATGCAAACAAACCTTGGTCTGCCTGCATTCTGCCGGCCAGCACGGTTGCCGAAAAGCAACCCATGCATGCATCACTGACTAAGCAAACCGTAGTCTGCTAGCCAGCTCTGCAGGAGACCGTGGTCTCCTCTCACAGACAGATGGCAAACCGTGGTCCACCACAATTATAAGGAGACCGTAGTCTCCCGGCTTTGTCCAGGAAACCGCAGTCTCCCGGGCTGCCTATAGTCTATAGTTATATATCTATATCTGTATATATGTTTCGTTTGAAAGAAACTTAAAAGGATCCCTTGCCTGGCCTCGTAAAAAAGGCCAGCCCCCATCCAAGGGCTCCCTACAGGAGCCCAAACAGCTGCAAACACCGGCACAAACTTCACAACCTGCACATGCGAGGCTACAAGTCAAACAACTGCATGCACATGAGACAACAAGGCTTTGCATGGTTTTCCTGAAGCAAACGAACCTTCAGTTCACTAGCACCCCAGGCTTCCTCCGTTTGGAGGACTGCCCCTGGCTTTTTGCTGCCCTTTTGGCAGCCGCAGTCGCCTCAGCCTCCTGCAGCGGCAAGGGATCCAAGGGCCGGGCCTTGGCCCCGGCTTTTTTGACAAGCGAACACCTTCTGTCGTCGCCTCTCCGTTGAGCCTGGCGGCCTTGGCCGATTTTCACGACTTTGTCCTTCGCAGCAGTTCCCTTAGGAAAGCTTTGCCGTGCTCTAGTCTGAAAAGACTCAGCAGTAAGCACGGCATTTTGTGTTGCTTCAAAGAACAATGCCATATCATCCAAGTGGACTTTGGGCACATCCGTGACATGGCCCGCCTCCAGGACACGGATCTCCTTTCCCATCCAGGTAACCTTCAGCACATTCTTTTCTGCTCTTGCTTCCCTGGAAGCACGGCGGGACAAGCGAGTCTTCGCTGCTTTTCTCGGAGAGCTGCCTGTTACAGACACTAGAGCAGCCTCGCTGTCTTCCCCGCCGAAAAGGCCAGAGCTCTGTTCTTTCAGTTTCTCTGCCTGCCGCTTGGACTGCTGCTCCTTGGAGGCATCGTTTCGGGAGCCCACGAGCGATAGATAAACATCGCTCTGGGACAACGATGACTTTGCCGGGTATTTTGGCAGTTTTATGCTATGCTGCTTAGAAAGCAGCTTGCACAAGCCCGGGCTCCATGGACGAAGTACCACAAACGGACCATGGTCCGTTGGTTCTAGCTCCTTGTCACCCACAGTCCAGCTGGCACCATCCAGCTTCAGGACATATACTCTTTCGATTACCAGCGGCATTGTACCTATATTAGCCTTGAGCCGAACTTTATGGAAAGATCAACAACACGTGCCTGCAAACCATCCTTGAATTCACACTTGCAAAAGCGCCAAAAAGTTCCATTGCAGACATCAACCTTGGCTCCTTTTCCCGGAAAACTCAGCAAGCGAGAACTGTCGAGTAACTCAAGAAGCCTTTCGCTTTCGCGAGGCAGCGGATCCTTGATCCAGCTCTTGGGCCGAGGCCCTCAAACTTTCGGCAGGCTTCGGCCTGTACAGGATGCACTCCTTCAGCGAAGCAGTGTTCTTCAAAATGGGAATCTTCCAGCCCTTCTCGTTCAGAAGGACTGTCGCCAGATTCGGCTCTGAGCCGACCGGGATCTGCCAGAAGGCAGATAGCAAACTTCCGGCTGCAGCCGGGGGTGAAATATACAAGCTTGTGCCCGAGGCCGAATGCCAAACCTCCACACTGCCAGCTGCCGGCTTTAAGCCAACCTTTGAAATCTGATCCGTGAAGGGGAAGATCGTCAGCTTGCCTGTCTTGGCTTTGCCCTCCAACAGACAGCACGTGGGATTCTTCAAAAAGGTCAACTCCTCTTCACAGTGCGAGTACTTCAGGAAATACTCGCAGCAGAGCTCGAAGAACTCTCCTCGGAGTCTCTCTTGGCTGCAAGCCTCCGTATTATGGGGCAGTCGGTCCACAGAGTCAGACACCACTTCGGGTGCATCTCCGCTATACAGATCGAAAAATTTCTTGAGCTCGCTCAGAGGCACCTCGACCTTCTTGTCCCAGCTCACTGGGCAAGACAGCGAGAAAGAGCCGTGGCTCTGGCCGATTTTCTCCAGCTTCCAAGGCCAGATGTCCTGATACTTCTGCTTGCCTTTGTACAGGTTCCCCTCTGCGAAGCCTTGCAGCTTCATCAGGAAGGCCGGGTCCTGCATGTTCTCCAAGGTCGCAGGGGCCGCATCAGACGGCCCATCTTTTGTAGCAGCAGCCGGTGTTGCACCGGCACTCTTGCCACCCATCTCGTGTTCGTACAAAGTCAGCAAATTGGCCAATGACCCGTGCTCAAGGCCTTCTTGCCCCGACTTCTCTTTCTTGCACATGAAGAGGGTGCTGCGAACCATCAGGCGACCGAAGCACTCAACTGCCTTGGCACGTGCACTTGCATCCGTCACATTCTGAGTGTGAGCCCAGGCACGAGCAAGAAGCTCCTCCCAATCCTTTACAGCATCTTCCATGCCTTTCGCACAGAGCCTGCTGACATCGCTCTTGCTCAGCAGCCGAGCCACACCGTCTACCACTTTTGTGGCTGTCAGGTTCGTCGCGATCATCGCAGCCCTTGCGAAAGCATGCGATCGCTCCTGCCCTGCAAACCGGAGGCCGGCGACCGTGGACATGAATTCCTCTCCCAATCTTTTGCTTGCCCCATATTTCAAGGAAAAGTCGTGCAAAAACTTCAGCAGAGGTGCTTCGGTTCCTCCTGCATAGAATCTGCAGAACAACCCGCAAGCGGCCACGGTCTGTGGCGAGGCATCCGGCACCGTGGCTGCTACATCAGCTTGCACAACATCCCAGTCGATGCACAAACCTTGCTCTGCCAGCAACTTTGCTCGGGTCACCATCGCCATGGCGAGCTCCAGCTCGCCTGCCGTTCTTGCAACTCCTTGGGCTGCATTCATGACTTCCTGAACGAAGGAGGCCAGCGAGGGCAGTACTGCATCAACTTCCGCTGACAGCACCAGCCACTCCCATCCATTATCCACGGCCTGCCGAAAGTCCGTAGACAATCGCTGCAACGTGAGCTTGCCGTTGTCCGACACCGTCTCTTGGTCCGAGGGACATGCTGCAATGCAGGCACGGCAAAATGCCGTAAAGTGACTGCATGCTAACGACATGTATCGCTCATCGCCTCGCACCTCAGCTAGCAGCCCTCCATTCATATCCACTTGCCGCTTGTTGAAACTAAAGGCCTTTTGGCTCAGAGCTCTATCCGTGGATATTTCCATGCAAACACTTCGCTTCAGCTCCATGGAGCTGAAGCCTACAGATTGCACTTGGGCCCCTGTCTTGTGAACTTGGGCTCCATTCAATCCTAACCCTGAGCGATTCGACGGGTGCACCAGGACTTGACCCGGCCGCAGCACCTGCCTGTAGCACTTCCTGCTCTCCTGCAGGATAGTTTCGATCTCCGTCCATCTCTCCAATGCCGGAGCATCTTTCTTCAATGCCTGCTCCACGGCCGTAGCCCAGGCAGGCTTCATCTTTTCCAAGTTCTCTTGAAAAAAACGGCTGCATGGCAACAGGATATGCATTTAATTGTCCGCCCTGCCCCCCCCCCCCTGTATACATGCACCCTTGAAACACAAGTCATTTACGTGCCTAACATAGTCATTTCCCTATATAAGAACTGTACTTCAAAAAGTTATGTTAACTTAGCTAAACTTTAGCTAAACCCCCTAACCTTTGTAAATGTTTAACATACTTACACCACTTATGTAAACACTTAGCTAAGTCTCTTAACAGTTGTATTTGTTTATCACACTTATAAGTGATTTGCAATATAGATACAACCGGGTTGCAAGCTATTTAACAACATGCTTGCAATCTATATAAACACTTACAAAGCCACGGTTCTTCCCAGTATGTTGTATATATGCAAAAAACAGTTGTAGCATCAGTGACCTCGCTATAATGCCATGTTTGCCATGTATGCAGTGTGAGCCTAGCTGAGCTTGCAGCCAGGGCTCGGAGAAGCTAGTTGGCTGGAAGGATACAGGTGGAGTTGAGGCGAAGGCAGAAGTTGAGAATTACAAATCTTCAGGAAGACAATGATACAAGTGACTGGTCTTGAGCCTTGTCATTAAGCCATGGCGTCACTCATTCAGTACAGTTTCCGCAGCAAATGCGAGATTGCACTCCCTCCTGTCCGGGCATGGGTAAGGGAAAGAGCGTTTGTTTGCCTTCACCCCCCATAAAATCTCACCAGCAAGCGTCCTGTCTCGCAGCCGTGTTGGTCGAAGCCTCTTGACATCAGCTTAGCAGTACCTATCCGCGTTCCATATTGAATGCAGAAGCGAGTGGCTGGTTGAAGCCAACATGCAGGCCGTTTGGGATGCACGGGATGACATAGGGTTGGACAGGCATCTTGTTGCCGCGGCAGTGTCAGTGCTTTTGCTGGCTCACACGATGAAGATGGGGATGCTGACTAGTGATTAGCCGTAACCGTTCTCAATCGCTTTTGCTCGTGGTAGTCATCGTCGTCGAATAGTAGTGGTGGTGGCAGTAGTGGTAGTGGTAGTTGTAGTGGTAGTGGTAGTAGGAGTAGTAGGAGTAGTAGTAGTAGTAGTAGTAGTAGTAGTAGTGGCAGTGGCACTAGCAGTAGTAGTAGTAGCCGTCGTCGTCGTAGTAGTGGTGGTCGTAGTAGTAGTAGTAGTAGTAGTAGTAGCAGCACTAGTAGTAGTAGTCGTCGTAGTAGTCGTAGTAGTCGTAGTAAGTAGTCGTAGTAGTAGTAGTAGTAGTAGTAGTAGTTGTTGTTGTTGTTGTTGATGTAGTCGTAGTAGTAGCGGAGTAGTAGAAGAAGTAGTGATAGTAGTACTTGCTGTTGTTGTTGCCGCTGCTGTTGTTGTTATTGTTGTTGTGGTTGTTCTTCTTGTTGTTTTTGCTGTGGTTGTGGTTGTTATGGTTGCGTGTGGTCGACAGCGACGTTGTTGTTGTTGTTGTTGTTGTTGTTGTTGTTGTTGTTGTTGTTGCTGCTTTTGTTGTTAATTGTTATGTTGATGTTGCTGCTATTTCTGGTGTTGTTTGTGTTTGTAGTCATTGTTGTTGCTACAGCTGCTTCTGGTGTTACTGCTTTTGATTTCGTTCCGGTTAGTCTTCTGATTTATGCTTGTTCTTGCTGCTCTTAGACTCTTGTTGCGGTTCCTGTTGTTTTTGTTCTTGCTGTTGGGCTTGCCGTCGGGGTTTGGGTTCGTGTTGTTGCTGCTGTTGCTGGTGCTGGTGTTGGTGTCCGTGGTGGTGTTGGCGTTTGTGTTATCGTCGCACTTCTTGTTGTCGCCGTTTGATACCGCATTGCTTTGACTATGGCGCTATGATGTCTTGGGTTTGGCCCCCTCCCGGCAGTAGTGCTTGTGTAACATGACCAAACAGGATGCAAACAGGTGGAGCCCCAAGAATCTTCCCTGTGCTCAGATGACACATGTTGAACCAAAAATACAGGCGAGAAACGAATATGCCAACGTATATGCGCTGGATTTCTCGTTTGAGGAGTCGAGTGCACGATATAAGGCTCGTTATTCTGACTATCGTGTGACAACTGGGCGGGCCCGCTTGGCCTTGGAGACATCTCCGTGTCCCCAGTTACACCTGCAGGCAGACTATGGCTCTGCCTCCATGACCAGGCCTGGGTTGCCTGGGCTTGGGATCACAGGATTTTCGAAGGCGATGTATGCCCTGCAGAGTACGCGGTAACTCGTGCGAATTAAGCGCTCCTTTTCGCTTCCGGGCCTGATGTGTCTTGCGACGACAGCTGCATATCTTCGCCAGTACTGACGTACAGCTTGCCATTCAGGAAAAACTCGGACCCGGAGAGCGGCCGCATCCACGGTAACTCTGCGCTTCTTACCGCTCCTCGTCCTCTGGACTTTATTTCCTAAGGTTCCAAGCCTGACTGCATGGTTGATTTGCTGATCATTTTCGACGGCATTTGCTGTGGGCCGCCGGCGAGACTTGTACCGTTGCTCTCCGGTGTGAGATACTCATCATAGAATGGATGATTTCATGCAGCAATCCTTTGCGGAGCTTCCGCGTGGCTAGTGCGGCTAGTGTCTACCGGGGACCCTCTCCCACGGCGTTTGCCGACGGAGGCTGGCCTTTTAATCGCGGATGTAGTTGGTGCTGGCGTTCTCGCCATGGGCGGCTTGGCTGTGTAGCACGTTCTTGCATTGATCGTAAGTGGAAACTGTCCCGAAATGCGGCGTTCTAGGCCAAGCTGTCGCCAAGCTTGGCTGGCTCCTTGGCACCATTTGCATCCTCGCTATGCTGGCCATGAATGCCCACATCATGATCTTGGTTTGGAGAGTGGCTTGCCTTCACCTTTCACTTCATGTCGCGAGCTTGGTTGACTCAATTCGCGGCAATGCTGGGCAGGAAGGCTAGCTGGAAATGTATAGTAGAGGAAAGGGGCCGCACTGATCGTCAAAGCTTGTTCCTGGACTTATGAGGTTCACAGCCGCTTTCCCGACTCTCGGAAGAAACAGTTCGGTTTCGAGCTCGCTGCTTATGCACCATTGGCAAGCTGCTAACGAAGCCTTTGAGGATGCCACCACCTTCAGGGAACTGGTGCGGCAAACCTTCGCACGGGCTTTACCTGAGCGACTGGAATTGGCCCAAGAAATTGTGAATCTCGGAGCGCGAAAGTCTTGAGGGCTCAGGGATATGGTTCCTTTCAGGGCTGAAGTGAACGTTATACCCTTTCGCGCACATCCTGTCGGGAGTGTCGAGGGTGGACCACGTTGTCCACCGCAGGGTTCAAAGAGACACTTCATGGCAAATTGGGCACAAACACATGGAACCGGGCGGGAGGCAAAAAATCCAAAGATGCAGGGTGCAGAGAACCTTGTTCGATCTTGTTTCGATGCAGGTGGCTAAGTAGCTGCCATGCTGAGGATGGTTTAGACTCATGGTTTGCAGGGTCGTTTCCCACAGGTCTTGAGATATTCTAGAGGCTTGCCGAGAACAGCATCGCCCGATCATCACAGGCATATATTAGGTGATGTTTTGAATAAGTGGAGGGTGGTCGGACCGCCAAGGCCACAGAGGTAGAATAAACTTGTTACTGTATCTAGATATCAAAAATCCTCATGCTTCAAATCGTCATCTTTCCATTGGGACGTCATGGCTCGAATCATCTAGTCCGGTTTCAATCATCCGGGTGGTGAGTGTGAGAGTCGACGCCACCTGAGGGTGATCGGTCAATACACCTACGTCTTCTGCACCCTGGGCTTGTACACGCTCAGCATTGGCCAGGGCTTGGGAATGCAACTTGGCTGTTTGCCATAAGCATACGAGTCGATGCAGGTGCCCAGGCACCAGAATGCATTTTGCACACTGATGGCCGCGATAGGAAGCCCTGTCTACATTGGGCCGCCCAGGAACACAGCATTCCCGTGACTGTTTGCTCGACACAGCTGTCAGTCTACAATATGTTAGGTGATGGGGAGGCCGGAACGTGCTGGTTTGTGCACGATGTGCATGGCCACTGAGTGCCCCATAGAGTGCTGAACATGTCATCCGACGCCCGAAGAGTGCTGATTGAATTGATGATCCGGTGACGTCTCGACGGGAATCAGTTACACCCTTTGGCAGTGCACATGCTCCAGTATGCCGGTTCAGACGTCGCACCCTAGAAAACAAGCGTAATCAAGACAAAACAGGCTTGACCTGCCACGGTGAGGTTTTTCTATGATTACTCTGTATGCTTGCCGCTCATGACCATGTTTGGTTGCCTGATGCTCTTGCCCTTGCTGCTCGGCTGCACATACCTTTTACTTTGGCAGTTGGCCACAGGGTTTTCCAGACAGACTCAGCAGTCGCCTGTCCCGAAGCCTATTTGGGAGACCACCAACCGTCTAAAAGCCTGGAAGACAGAAGCGCATGCCAAACCAAGGAATTTGTCAGCTCGATTTCTGGGATCCTTCGCTGGATCTGTTGCTTTCAACTGTGCGTGCACCGTGGGCTGACAGCACGGGCTGACCTTACATGTTCTGATTAATGATCAGTTTACAATACTTTTGGGCAGTTTTCGGAGCGTCTCGCCTTCTTCAGCATTGTGGGCACACATATCACATAATTACCTGACACAAGCTGCCTGCAGCCCAGGCCGGCACAGTTTTGATTCCTATCGCTTGGTTGGCTGCGCATGGCGGCTTGGTGAAAAGCCCTTGCAGGCCACCGTAAGTCGATGAGCTGGAAGCTTCGACGGCACAGAATTTGATGGGAGCAATGCCGCGTGTGACCAGGGTATCCGCAAATGCCGTACAGATCGCAGTGTCGACACATGATATGCCTGCTTGACAGCTGTCGCAGATGTACAGTCAGGATCAGGCTCTGCTGGCTGTTCACAGACCTTCACTTGTCATTGTTTAATCTCAAAACCGATGCACTGAGGCACGGCCGAGACGCGCCCTGCGGGCAGCGAGTATAGGGCTGTGGCGTGCCTTCGGCCTAAAAGACTTGCGCTCTGCGGTGTGAGCTATACATACCCTGACCTCGCCTGGCATGTCCGAACACCATAGCCCGAACGCCCTACACGAGCACAAAAATAGTGAGTGAAAGGTGCATGTGTGCGGTCTTTTTTATACTTTGAGGCCCGGGCGCCACATTCATATGAGGCATGTTTGGCCGCATCCTTCTTGTTGACTGATTGTGGTCATGGGCCACGGTTTTCCTGACCGGTCGATGCAGTGCTGGAGTAAGCATCCGAGGAGCCATTTGAGTTTCGATTCCCTAGTCACTTCAGCGTCTGAGCTGCAGATGTTAGTGCTTTGCTGAGCTGATGCTTGTCCACAGAGAAGCGCAGTCGTGCCTACTTTGGGTCTAAAGAATCGCCTTGCACTTCGCAACAACAACTGTAGCGAGAGCTAGCCGATGCCAGCAAGTCTCTGGTTTCCATAGTTCTGGACGTCAATGATATCCCAGCTGAGGCGTGTACGTTCGCCTTCGCTTTCTCTGGGCAGTGTCCCGGATAAGTCAGCTCTTTTCGTCATTCTCTGTCATTTTTCATACGACCGCCGACGATGCGAGAAGACCCCCCCACCCCCTCCCGCCCATAGATCACTGACAAGCAACGTCGGCATGAATTCTCTTCAGACCGGTGTTCACGGAGGTTCATTCTGGTTGAAATCATGACAGAGATGGAAGACATGAATGAGTTTCCGAAGGCTTGCAGGGCTCATTGCCAAGATCAGAAGATCAGTGCTGCTGATGCTCCTGCACACTTCCTGATACAGACGCTGCGGCCAAAGATGTGCACGTTACCCTTACTAGTAGCTTGCCGTGCTTGTAGGAGGAAACCTGTTTTGTCTGTCTGCTCCACAGGCCTACTTCGCTTATTCACTGCCCTTCCAAGCTGCAGCTTTCATTGGCGTTGGGCTGTCCGTCTATTACTTCCGAGGCGCTACAAACGCAGCAGATCGTAGGACATAGACTTGCGACCTGTGGTTGCGTGGCACTGCATGCTTCATGCTCGTGACCACTTGCTGCTTCGCCACAGGCGATGCTGCTTCAGGGATGATCGTTGACGAGATCCCCTTTGGCAATTCCGAACGATATGCTGCCATATGCCTCGTAGGGCACATGCTGATCACTTATGCCCGGCTTGTACAAACTCCATGTTCTTGTTGTGCTGCGTGTTGGTGGAGGAAAAACCCCTGCCAGGTCATCAAAAGCGTGGTGCTCTGCAGGGGTCTCCTCAAAGAGTTCCATCGTCGTGATATGATCACATCCGGCAACACCTGGTCGGCATGGCACTACATGGCAGCCTGGCTTGGAATGCTGGTAGTGCTTGCGGAGGCAGACTAAGATCGGAAAATCTCGTATACATTTGGCAGAGACCTTTCATCACGAATTTCGAGGTCTTGGCCGTCCTTGCCTCGTCGTGGCTCCTGGCCCAGATCGTCCCGTTCTTTTCAGACCTCGTGAACGTACTTGGTAGCACCTTCACTCCAACCATCGCTTTCATGACGCCGATGTTTCTCTACTTACTCCTGGCGCGAGTCCAGGACCGGCGGTGCCAGAGTAGAGTAGCTCTCTGTCGTCCTGATGGGCCTGCACAAAGCTGCCTATTCTTCTCCAGCTCTGCCGGCAATTCAGGACTTCACTCCAAGCCGGCTGGAAATGGTCGCCATTGCGGTTGAAGTTGCCGTTTCCGTCGTCATGCTTCTGTATGGCGGGATCCATTCTTGGCTTCGGTTAACTTATAGCAGTATAGGCAAGCAGCCCGAAGTCCAAGCTGAAGTCCGGGAGTCGCGGGACAAGACGCAAGAAATTCCGAAAGAAGGAAACTTAAAAGTGCAAAATCTGCGTCTGACATGTGGTCCTTGCAAGGACCGATGCACCCACGCGATGCAGTATTGCGCGTGGTTTCATTGGTTTATGAACTGGGGCAAGACTTTCCGTCGACTTTCCGGCTTTTGAGGTTTGCCAAGAACCAGACCTCAAGTTGATGTCTGCAAAACGCACTGTCTCCGGACATTCCTGTTCATGTTTGAGCATCGAGATGGTACGACTTGAGCGAATTGCAGGCATCGGAAGCACACGGTCGTTTAGCCATGTCTCGAGCCATGTCCAAATCTCACAAGGCGCATAGCACATGGACGCGGCATATTGCCAAGCGACACCATGGCGGGCACCAGGGACGGGAGAGAATTACTACAAATACCACACCACCACCGGGAGCAACAGTCCATCAACTCAGGTCTGAAAGTGCGAAGCATGGCATAGCGTTCTGAGGTGCATGGGGGATTGCAGCGCTGTTCCCTTCGCCACCTCGCGAAAGCGGCCATGCAGATTCAACGCGCAAACAGAGCAGACACGAGTTGTGATGTCGAACACGCGGGCAAGCAAGGAAGCAAAACCCTCGACTCGATGGATTGACGACAGAAGATGCAAACCCCTCCCGCCCGCCGCCAATACGGCTTCCAGAAGTGACTGTCACTGCTGCTGACTCTCGCTCATGTCTACGCGACTCTCTATCCGGCAGATGTGCAGGCACAGTGTCGAATGGCATTCATATCTATGAAAAGTGGAACAGCTACGGCTACCCTTTTGAATGCCATTGCCAGAATCTCTGGAGCCCCGGCTGCACAGGTCCTCAGATTTCAGTTGTGCCTCTCTGGAGTCCTGAAACTTGATTGTCTGAGGCGGACTTGTGAGTGCTCTCCCAGCAGAATGCAATGCCCGGCATGACGGATGGACGTAGAGATGAGTGCGACCGCCCTGTGCGAAAATTTCGAAATTAAAGGACATGCTGCTCCGGCGTGCAGAGGGTGATCAAATCGAAAACAACACCTGCAGGGTTCTTTCGCCAAGGCGTTGCTCTCGCAATGCCCTCTCAATCTACGAGATGTCGTGAATCCGAAGGCGCTGCGGGCACGATGTCGTTTATCTACGACATGCTACAGTGCGGGACTCTCATTTTGATTCTCAGTACTGTTTGCCTTCTCGGGGTGTTTCCTGGCTTTCCGGGTTTGCTTCCATTGCCAGTCGATGGACATATGCAGGCCACGTCTGCTGCTGACTTTTGGCAGCTACGGCTGACTGCAACTGCGTGACTTGGCAAATTACGGCTAGCGAACCTTGGTGCCCCAGAGTCTTTCGTATCTCCTTCCAGCCCTTGCCGGTAATTTGTGTCAGCCTACCCGAGAGCAAATCACCTTCGACTGCCAAAGATGTCGAAGCATACATCTCCCCACTCCACATGCCGAGCGACCCAAATCGATGCACAAGTGCAGCCACTACATTGGCACTACATGGCATTCTAAGCAGGACAGACTCCTACACGGCCAGCAACAGCAGGACTGGCTAAATGCGAGATTTCAAAGAAATAGTTAGTAGTGAAGTAATGAAGTGTCCTGCATGGAGATGGCCACTTCTGTGCTCTCATGGCGGCTGGCGACCACGTGCGGCACACTGGGCAGGAAAGCTTCACGGCAGTGCTTTTGCACCTCCACGAAGTACCTTGTTCTGTTCAGTTGTGGCATACTGGAGCCGTAGTCACTTATCGTTGACCCTGCCAGTCTTCGCACTGTAGGAAGCACCTTTCGGGTCGCCTGGGGGCACACTGGGACACTTGTGCCAGCTAGCGCCAGTGTAGTGACTTCAAGTCTTGTGAGCGTGTGTACCTCTTGCGCACATGCAGATCCAGGGGATCTGCTTGCCCCATAATCATAAGAATATCGCAGCAGCCACCGAAAGATCAATGTCGTTTCCGCGAGCAAAAACGACCGGCGCCCGGAGCTGGCCTGGTCCCTTGGGGGTAGTGGTAGCGGCCGCAGTCATCTAATTATGTTCACGCCATTCCGGTTCTGGGAGTTAAGCAGCCATCGTTTTGCTTTCGCCGCTTTGTGTCGAGGTGCGTCCACAGGTCGGGGCCGTTCCAGGAGTTGGGACGTCAGGGCTGGCAGGGCGCCGTCTGCTGGCGTCGAAGACTTTGAGGACTTCCAGCACCAGGAAGCTGGTGCAACGAAAGCATCTTCGACAGCGAGGGACATCATATTCGAAGATGTGACTACTGCCTTCGAGGATGTGGATGGTTTAAGTGACTGGGAGGCCTCCAGTGCACCGCCCGAGAAGGAAAAGGAGGTGCAACCGAGGAAGCCGGCACCGATGAGCGACGAGGAACTCTCGAACGCCAACCTCCTAAGCCTGGCCAGAGACGAAATTCTTTGGGCTGTCGGACGTGCTGCAACAATTGGGTTATCTCCCGAAGCTCGTCTTTGGCAAGATGTGCCGAATGCCATCCTGACCCTTGGAGGCGAGAACGAGCTATCTCCGTCGGAGGTTTGCCGGCTACTTCAAGCTTTGGCTTATGCTCCAGCCCAGGTACCTATCGACATCTCCATGGTTCAAAAGCTTTTGAAGGTCTTTGCTCTCCGGGCGAAAGAGTACAGCGATGAACGTTTGATGCGCGTGGTTTATGCATATGGAAAGCTCGCTGCCAAGCGTGGTTTGAAGCAGTCTCGCTTCATGGATTTTGCCACCAGTGAAATCGTCGAGCGAGACCGAACTTTGCGAGCCTGGCGGAAGGTCCGCATCCTTGAAGCAATCGGGTCCCTACCTGAAGCTGGACCTGAATTCAAAACTGTCTTGGTGGGACAGATTATGAAGACAGGCCTGAAAAACCTGGATGCTGAGTGCATGAGTCGCTTTGTTCACATGGTCGTAGACACGAAGTACCATGAGCGCTCTGGCACGGTGCAGAAGCTGAACACTATATATCAGCTGAAGCTGAAGCATGTCCGATTCAACAACCCTGAGCTCATCCTGCTCATGGGCCTTCCAATGTTTCTGCATGATTTGATGAAGACGTCGGTGCTCACACGTTGGCTGGACCGCCTCGCACGGTTAAGGCTGCCTGTGGAAGCTGGCAGCACACCGCGAACTCGCGCAACGACTCGCTCAGCGATTGTGGCGGCCCCTGACGAGCAAGTCGACGAAGCACCACGCAAGCGACCACGTAGCTATGCTCTTGGCCCGGCAAACTCGACGACAGCAGCCAGGAACCTGGAAGGTCTGAAGTTGGTGGAGTTCGTGCTTAGGCACGAGAGACCTGGCATTATGCAGTCCCTGACCCCGGTGGCAGTGCAACTCTTGTCTACTGTCAGAGAAATGCAGCTGAGACCACCCGATGACTACCAGATGCTTGAGCTTCCACACGTGTACAGCGAAGTTTCAAGGCTTTTCCAAAAGCTTGGGGTCCTCTTGCATCCCAGCATCTGCGGACCATACCTGCTGGAGCTGGCGGATCCACTCGGCTTGGTCGTTGTTGAGTGGGACCAGGGATGGCTCGTATATCCGCCATGGAGACGAACAAGGCACCAGGAATTCGTGCTGCGGAAGCACTTGCACTTGCGTGCCGAGGGCTGGAAAGTGTTTACACTGCCTCTCACAGAGTTCCAGCAGCTCACGACTCGAAGCGCCAAGCTCCAATATCTGGAAGGCTTTATCGCCAAGCATGGCATGGAACATTTGCGTGTCGAGGCATCAACCGCCGCCTGCGAGCCCAATGCCGAGCAAGGTTGACAAAGACTTTTGCGTTCAGGTCTGTGACGCACACAGCGGAGTTGTTTGGATAATTGGTCTCAGTCGGGTTTGGCCCCCGCGTTTCCAATAGGGTCATCGAACTGATGTCTCCAGAAACTTGGGTGGACTGATTCGGTGCGAAGTGGTGCTTCATAGCGTGCGTAGGAGCCGTGCATCCCAACATGTTAGAGCTACGAAGTAATCATCAGACTCCAGGGGTTGTCGTCTTCAGAAGCGGGTTTGCTACTCAAAGGGCTGGAGCGGAACCTGCAGTTCAAGGGCCCTGCCCCAGCCATGGGCCGTTGTCGCTTCTTCCTTCCATGAAGGCTTCGCGTGCCTGACCGTTTTGCGAAATTTTCACCAGAAGCGCTTTTAAATAGTTGCGGCGAAGTAGCGCAAGCAGGGCTGTGCGACGACTGGTGTACGGCAGGTTCTGCTGTTGCTGGTTGAGTTACTGTTGTCACCTGGGGCAGTCAGGCTTCAGTCTGCGAGAGCAGCTCAGAATGCAGAGACCAGAGTGGCCCCCTTCGAACAGAGCCCCGACTGCAGTAAGAGGAGCAAAGGGTCCTGAATTGCCACAGTGTGCGAAGTTTCTCAACATGTGTGGACAGATGCTTCTTGAGAGCTGTGCTACGAGTTTGCCTGGAATGCAGCCGTCTTGTCAATGATCTGTCATGAAGGAAGCATGCCCCGCCTCCTAAGGACTCCACTCTTGGTTTCTCGGCTGTACCTGCACCTTGAGGGAGCTGCCAATCGGTAAGAGAGCGGTGTCTACAGTCTACAGCTTTCCGTGTTGTCACGCGGAGCGAGGCCAGATGCTTCTATGTAGACATTTCTAGACAAGTCGAACTACACTATGTTAGTTGCTGGCGTGTTGTCCGGTCTGCTTCGTACTCGTAACGATTGATAGATACTGTAGGACATCTGACTAGCAGGTAGTGTAAGCGGTATAGCAAAGGAACTTCCCGCGCTTGAGGCCGCCAATCGGAATGGTCATGGCACCTCGACGTGATTAATAGGTCTGTCGGCATCGATGCTGCAGCACCATCGGCATGACGCGCCCTTGTTTCCTAAGTCCTGTGGCCTGAGGCGTTCCGTCCCTTGAGGAGTTGAAGGTGTGCATGCGATTCGCGAAGGACCGATGTGGGAGCATCAAGAAAGTGCTATGCCGCCCACAGCCCTGCTCGGCTATCAGGACGGCAGCATCTACCAGCTTCCAAGTGCGAATTCATCCATCCAGGCAGGACATTTTCAGAGACAGGCACATGAACCTCCATCTCAGACGGACGGCATGTCACATGTCACCCTCGCGAAAGGCGAGTCTTTGGCAGTTCCTGGTGACCTGGCTCTGGTTCAGTTTCAAGGGGCCCAGCTCAATCTACATTGCACACCGGAAGTTACAGATGCGGACAACAGGCGATGGATGCCTTCTGGTAGGTTTCCTGTTGGCCAAAGCCAAGGTTTGGACTTTGAGGCTGCTTCAAGTGCTGATGCCAGCGCCGCCCGGTTAGCTAGTAAGGCCAATCACTTCATGTTTGTTCGATGACGTTTCGCTTGCCTCGACCAGGTTTTACTTCGTCGTGAACAAGCCATGCACCCACCCAGATGACGCGACCGCCGCCAGCAAGTACTGACAGCAGCTTCCAGCCAGAGACAAAAATGCGGCGTCAAACAGCTCGTCAATACGTCCCTCGGACCTGTGCACCGCATCTAAGGTAGGTTTCCGCGGTGCTTTGATACACGTGCTGGTGTTGATGCGAGATCTGACACTCCTCCTGTTGCAAAACTGCTTGTTCTGGGCTCCTGAGCTCGTGCGCCCAAGCACGGTAGTCATGCAGATAATGTTCCTGCTGCATGAGATGGTTCTCAGCCGGAGGCAGACTGTAAGCATCGGTTAATGTCAAGAGCATGGAGCCTGATTACGGCGGCTGCTGTGGCTGCCGAAGGCCCGAGGAAGCGAAAAGCGCTTAGCAAGTTCAAAAGCTTCGGCCCGCGGAACTCCGTCTGTGTGTCGCAGGGGGTCTCGGCGAACAAGCCGCTCTAGAATTTGTCGAGACTCGGCGCTTGGGAAGGTTGCCTACCCGCTCGGGCTGCAAAATTGATCAGGGGAAGTGTGGCTCGTCGCTGCTGTGCCCTTGCTTCACTTACTTATCTTGAGATGAGAACATAATGAAAACTCTTGCAGAAAAGTTCCCGCCCTTGATGTTGTTTCTCCCTCCCGTGCTTCCGTCTGAGGGCATTGGAGATGCCAAGCTGTGCTGCGAGCAGGTGCTCAGGCAGGCGGTGGCGTCACAAAAAATGGCTGAAACTCCAATATGTAAGGCGGATTTGATGTCTTGCAAGTGATGTGATGGCAACTCGTGCCGGTGTGCTGGCACTCTCCACACCACTGGGTTCCAAGTGAGCTATGCATGTCGATTGCTTACAGAATCTGCTTCAGGCCGGGCTTCGTTGAACGGTCTGCGGGCATTCCTTCGGCTCGATTGCTGACGCCTGCATGCGGACGAGCTGCATCCAGAAGGAACGCTTTCGTCTCATTATTGTGAATCACTTGTTGAACCTTATGAGAAGCCTTTGCGTCGCCTACTTTGTATAGAAGCACCCAACATCTGCTGCAAGGTAGCTGGCAGCGAATTCTGTTCTTCAAGTTCTCCTCTCCTGATGCTGTTGATGAGGTCTGGAAGCCACAATTTCACTTCAACTCCTCGTATCCGCTTTGGCCTGCGAGGTGGACCTGCGACTTCTGCTGCAAATCTGTGAAACGTGGGGCAAGCTGGGTATCTTGGGCAGCAAGCAGACCTCAAGATGTGAGAGGCTGCAAGGCCCCCCAGCCCAAACTGGATTGAGAGTTCGAGTCGCTTGCCAGGTCCCAAAGATGGACTCCTGACGAACAGCCCCAAGAGCTTGTCACCTTGGTGGCGCTCCATCGTGGCAGCCATGGATAACATTCCTTTATCTCATCGAGGCATTGACTTAAATCCAAGGGGCCGTTTGTGTGGAAAGGTCTCTCGAAGATTTGGGTCATAGGGGAACTCGAATTTTTCTGGAACATATTTACGGGAGCGAAAACTTTTGGGATTGCTTTTTCTGGCAGCTACGGTAGTTGGGGTTCTTAGGCAAGCATAATCAAGGTTGAGGGATGTGCTTCAATTGTGCAAAGATCTGTTCCGGATGTCAAGGCGTTCCCCGAACGTTTCTGTGGATTGCCAGGCTTCGCACAGTTTGCGGCAGCAGTTGTGCAACGAGTCATTTGCGACTGGTGGCACATGCAGGGGCAGTCGCTCGAATCATAGTTGACTCGGCGTTGACACTATTGGGCCTGACCGCTTGCCTCTGTGTTCGAGTCGAAGTGAAGCTGTGCCATGCTCTCCGTGCTTTCCCCGTTCTGACTCCAAGGAAGCTGGTAGTGGGTTGGAGCCCCATGTGTGGGTGGACAGCTTGGGAGGCCTGTTCCGGCTTTGCCCGCTTCTTGCGTCAATGTGTGAGTTTGATTTCTGATTAGGAGGACGAAGCTTGTGATTGCGCATCATTGCACAGTAACTTGGACCAACGGAAGAACTGAAACGCTGATGATGGCGATGTTTTGAGGTCTTGACATGTGGATCTGAGAGTTTTTCTTCCAGTAATCCAAGGAGATCACATACATCGATTATTTGCCACAGGATTTCCTGAGGCCAAAGAGCTTACTGGAGTCACTGGAGCTAGCGCTTCTTGGCAGCAGTTGGGCTCAAGCTGTGGCAAGTGGGACAACCCGGCATTCTGAAAATAGTCAGGGACACCGTCTTGCAACGCCGACCTGATCAGCGAGGGGAATAAAGAATGAGCGGATTCGATATCTTGAATGCCGACATGTTCGGACTCGCAGGATCGATTGTTCGCAGACGGCGGCTTTGTGAACAATCCCAGTGTTCACACCAGCCACCTTCGATCTTTGGCTTCGCGCGGGAAGGACAAGCCGCAGGCAGCTCAGGAAAGGAAGCCGATATGTTCCAGTTACACATCACACAGCGGCCGGTCTGAAACTTGCCTACCGACAGGTGGTCGCGGTTCCTGGTGCGGACGCCCACGATTCACCAAAGAGACGCTCAGGTGGCCAGCCAGGCACGGGTGGGATGAGCCCAGCCTTGATGAAGCACCCACATGGCAAATGCAGGACCAGCAGATATGAACGAAACGTCTGGAGCATCCGTTTCCTTTCTTTAGCGGGGGTCTCCCTAGGTGAAGTTTGGAGAGCGCATGGCTGTGGCTGCGCTGAACCTGGCCGAGATGCTCGGCCACCAGGCTCTGACTATGTCGGAGCTCTTGGATCGAGCGGGGGAGCTGCGGATCCTTGGCCGATCTTAAGGTTGCAGAAGCTAGAGGCGTGGGGGCCTCATCGGGTTCTTGAGGGCTGGGCCGACGAGCTTGCGCCGTTCACAGGTTTCGGCAGAGCTAGGTAGATAGTTTAATCTTGGCATAACCCTGTCCGAGCCACGGAGTGGTCGCGGGCTGGACGGGTACTGCAGCACTGGGCTTGACGGCTTCATTGACTGTTTTGACGCGTCCCATCAACAGCTCGACATGTTCCTGCTTTGCATGTGTCAGCTCCGGTCGCATGCCGCTGTCCACTAGGAGCGATGCTGATCTTGAAGACCAGCCAAAGATCGGAATTCGCCGCATATTCCAGGAGAGCCACGGCATTTGTAGCATGCCTGACTAGAGTAGCTCCTGGAAAGAAGACTTTCCACGTGCTCGCACACCATTTGCAAACTCAGCATTTGCACCACTCGAAGCTTCGTCCTGAGGACACGGAGGTCGGCTCCTCGGCGTGACTGCGACAGACTCGACTTTAGTTTCAGCGACTGGGAGTGTGGGAGCCAACTTAAACTTCAACCGTTTTTCGTTTGAAATTTCATGCATCCTATGTACATGCTTCATGCTAGACAAAAGCCATACAAAGCCCATAGGTCGAGGCTGAGCTGTTGACTTCTATGCCCAAAGATGCACAAGAGGCCTTGATGTCCAAATGATCCGGCTTGGTCGCAAGACATCCTTCCCGAAATTCCCGCCGAACAGCATTTCTACATTCAAGCGGCAGCTGTACCAACAACATTGGGTCACGGCGGGCCATCGCCTCGATCGCATCATGCTGAATCAGATGTGGACTCCTGACTTCTTCCAGCATGACGAGCAACATTGCCCAAGGAGTCTTGTAATGCTTATGGCTTATAGACTCAGAGTATACTCCAGGGAACCCGAAGGTCCCCCATGGGAGCTTCGACCTGCAGCCTCGAGGCACTTCGGTGTCGCCCTTGCGTCGGTACGGCCGCTTCCTTCCTGCACGGCGCTTTGTGGAGCCGTCGGCAGGCCCACGTACAAAGAGCCCTTGCCGAAAATGGTGTGATGTCGCTGTTGGACATGTTAGGACGACCATCAGATAAACGTTCTCCACCTCACTTGCTTCATAACTGGCATGTGAATGGAGGAGAGTCATGAGGGTTGCCTTCACGGGCTGAGCTCCGAAGTCAAGGCTGAATGCCACGGTTGCACGGCGACCCGCGGGGATTTGGGAGAGCAGCCTTCTTGCGGGGCGTGCAGCAAAGCCTCATACTAATCGTGAAGACCATATCGAAGCCACACAGCTGTGTCCAAGAATCGGTCTGCCCCCCTGAAACCGCAAAGGAACTGCGCTGCCACGGTCACTTCACTGCGAGTCGACGCAGACATGTGCAGGCTCGGTCGCCTTTCGACACTTCCATCTTTGCCCAACACGGTCTGTTCCTTGCAGGCGTGTTATTGATTCGCTTGGCATCAACATGACCAACCCAGCGCACAACGACACTGTCAAGGAAAGGCGAGGGAGCCATCAGCGTAGCACTGCTGAGTGTGTATTTGCACCAAGATGCCTTAAACTCGTGGCCTTTGAAGAAATCGCCCAGCTTGGCAAAGTCTGGGTTTGTGTTTGGAATGTGAAGACTGCTCGGGATTGTACGAGTGACCCGATGCAGGCTTGCAGGAATTTATCTGGGCGACGATTGTCTTGTCGTGCTAACACGCACGGCAAGATCGGCCCTGGATGGATTGCTTCGGGGGTGGGACCGGCCGCCGGCTTGAGTCACAAGAAGCATCGCTGCTAGAGTAAGCTATGATAAGCCAAGAAAGAGGTGCATGATGCAGGGTAGATTCGCAGACATGCAGTCCGAAACACGTACTTGTAATTCCAACTCCACTGCATTGCCTGAAGGACTGCTTTTCCTGGTACGGCCAAGAATCCGCCCCGCATTTTGACAGGCAGGGCAACGTGCATTACCCATACAGGCTGGTTGCGGTTTGTGAGTATGTCGACAAGGATCGTGCAAAAAGGCAGGTGTATGAGGCAGCTCCGGCCTTCTTTTGAGCTCCTGCTAGATGAGCGTGCAAGTCGAAGCAAGGATGTGGGGCGTCATCCTCCATGCGTCCGTACTGGCCACTGAGATAGCCGTCCAGCGAATGACGGAGGTGCGATTGTGCACTCTGTGTTGACTTGCTGCACTTGCTCCATGGCTCCTGGCCTTTAACCTACATGGGCCAGCATGGGTCTTAAACGGACAGCCAGCCATGACGTCAGCCCGGGCACCTGAGCAGGAAGTGGCCACCAACGATGCTAGCGATGTCAGCTTGACAAGCCACATGTACACTGAAGACACGGCCTAGTAGGACACTGGCAGGTGGCTGGTCTTGACAAGGCCGACCACATGAAAGCCACTTACGGCTGCGGGATCAGAAACTGATTCCAACAGGGATGAATCACCTCCCTCCGCCTGAGGAGTTGAAGGCCTTTTTCTTGTTGTTCACAGCGCAGGTGGAGCTTCCCCAGTACCGGCTTGCCGCAGCGTCGTTGGCTTCTTGGCGCGTTCTCTTGGGGATCAGATTTACATGACATTAACTACTGACCGGCAACGGTGGCAGTCGTCTTATGTGCGTTGACAGCTCTGCCGACCTGCGTGCCTGGTGCACATCTAGAGATGCTACAAGCTGGAGTTCTTTCGATCGCATGGCAGGACCAGCACTGCGAGCTCGCGAAGTTCTCTGGTAAGCCTCTGGCCGCGACCTCCTTGGCATGGTTGGAGCGGAGCTTGCCAAGAGTGTGTGGTATTATGTCTTAGTCCAACGTCTAACAGTGAACCAGCATCTCGGTCAGCGGCAATTCCGGTGGTAGCCAACTGCGCAAATTGCAGACCGCAGATGTCATTTAGTCCTCTAAGCTCGTCACCCGGGCCCTCCTGCAATCCCTAACACCATCAGTACCCACAGGGCAGTTGCGTTCTTGCAGGAGTTGCAACGCAGCATTGCCAGCCTTGCTTGGCTGAGTGAGGATCTTACATTTTTCGTATGGATGTGACCATGTTTGACCCACTCGCATGGACATGGGATGCTTCATGCATGGTTCTGTAGTAGCAAGCCGTCTAAGCAATGAGCACAAGCCAGCCCAGAGCCTGTGATCAAGGAATCTTTCATGTGTGATCTCCGGCTGGGGGTTGTGTTGGTGAATTTGTTCATCTTTGAAGTGCCTTTATGGATCATGGGAACTTACACCCTGCAACAGCAGATTGAACCGCTGAACCGAGGCTTCAATGCACTCCCGTACAAGCGGGGCACACCAAGCACGGCGCCAATGGGCATAAGTCACGTAGGGGTTCTCGTCGTTCCAGTGGCATCAACCTGGGATTTGCCTGGCCGTTCTACTCTTGCTCATTAGAGATGCGAAGCCGTGTGAGCAATAAAGCTTCTAAACAGAAGGATTTCACATAGATTCTGACTCGCACAGCCCAGCAGCAGAACAAACACCACTGGTTAGCTTCGAACCTTCGCACGTTTGCATCCAGACCCGTGAACTCTGTTGGAACATGTCTGACAGGCCAGCACGCATCGACTTTTCTGCTTGTGACTACCGCTCGACACGGATTGCTCCCCGCGGCATGAGATATGCGTAATCTCCTTCTCCGATTATTAGAGGTCCCGGATACTATACATATCTATACAGACTGTTCTCGGAACATTTGGGCCGGGAACGCCGCACGGCGCCGGGAATGCCGGACTGCAGGGGAACTGCAGGCTGCAAGCCAAGGAGACGTGGGGCTGCAGGGGCCGCAGGCTGCAAAGAGCCACAGGAACGTAGGACTGCGGGCGGCTAAAACGGTTAGGAAAGCGTCACTAAAGAATAGGAGCACTATATGAATTCTTAATTAATGCGGAAACATGGTATTATGCCGGGTTCTGCCAAGAACCCCCGTGGGGGCGTTTAGTTTGCAGTACGTAGGCTGTACGGCAGTACGCACCTATCCATTCCGAATCGCGCACCTCATAAGCCTGGCTAGCGACTAAAAGTGATCTGGATAACATCTGGAAGCCGTGTTCCCTTGCAGGTGCTGGTCATCCATCATGCTCTTTGGCTAGCACTCTTTCCGCCGGCAGATCGCCAAGACGTTCTGGTTCAATGCATCCCGCGAATCCGCGAGGGAATCTTGGCAAAGCTACGTACAACTAACAACAGGTGTGGTACCAACATACACGGGCTATCAGTGTAAATCTTTCTGGCAAGATACTGTCTGCAGCAGCATCCTGGTGAACACAAGCCTGCTTCGTGACACGATCCTCAGCAGTCTTGAGAGCACGACTTGAATCTTGAATGAAATTGTGTCTGCCAAACAGAGCCTGGTACTGAAGGCATGGTGCCTGACCTGGAAGCTTTCACCACTGACCTTGACGAGTTCGTAACAGACAGGCTCGCTTCGAATGGTAGTACCTGTTGCTTTCGTGTTCGAGACGCAAGACCTTGCATGTGGCACAGGTGGTGGCACATCTTTGAGGATCTGGCAGCAGGCGAAGATTTGCTGAGCTGCCTCAGCAACTGCTTCGAAGGTCTCACGCGATGGAAAAAGGGATGCGCTGCATTCGATGTCAGCAAGAGCGTGTTGAATCCCTTGCCAGGCCTGCCTGCGCAAGTCGATTGGTTATCGGCGACCGAACTGTCTCAACCTCCCGTAGTTTGAATTCCATGGTTTCGAGCTGTTGTTCCGACCTCCACCAAGACTTATTTGCATACCTGTGTCCGACTTGTGGCAATGATGGGGCAGGGTGGCATCTAAGAGAAGTCAAGTCTTGACTTGGCCGAGACTGCATGCCATAACCAGGGTTGTCCTGGGTTCTCGTTAAGGACTTCAATTTCAAGTTCCATAATTGGCATACAGCAAAGAATAAGGTTTCTTATATTTTGGTGACTTAAACTAAATCCCTGAACAAGAACCCAGTAACTTACGACCGCCATGACGAAGCACCTTGCCTGCGCCTCGTGTTCTCCGGCCAGCGCCGCTCCTTGTTCTCAAACAGACAATGACGAAAGAATCAAAGCGTTTGGATGGGTTTTCGTCTGAAGCAAAGCAGTGCAGCAACGGTATGACCGGTATGGCGTGGAGCATCACCGACTGCCGACTCGACAGGTTTAGCATGCGCATCGCGATGCCGTCAACTTGATGGTGAAGGTGACTGCTGATCGTGGATCTACCAAATCTGTGGCATGCGTGGGGCTCGCAACTATGATGGCTCAGCGCCTCTTCTCCACGAGCTGTGGCTTTGCGCTGCCGAGGCAGGCAGCCGGCATCTCGCAATATAGTCCGCACTCGAGCCAACACTTCTGCAGGCGGCCGGTGTTGAACGATGAAGTGAAGTTCCAGGACTTGACAGCGACTTGTCAGCTCGGCCTTGTGCGGGGAAAGCTGCTGACAAGTTGAACGCTACATTGCTGGCACTGCTGCGATCGAAGTGTGCTCTAGCGGTTAAACGCTACACATAGAACCCCTTAAACTTCCAAGAGGCGAAGGGAGCCTCTTCAAATTTCTGCTCGGGATTCAGTCCCATTTGTTACGACGACATGTTGCTTTCTGCGGTTGTTCAAGTCAGGATAATAAGCCGAGGCCTAAGAGGTGGAGGCTGTACAGGCAGGCTCAGGCTCGGGTAGAAGGTGCGAGGCCCGAGGCGTGGTTTTTGGAGACGGTTGAAAGATTTTTTAAGGCTAAGTTTTAAAAAGCAGCCGCTCTAAACACAAGGAATCCCACAACAAAAAGCTACTCAAACCCCGAAGATCCCCGAAGCCTCCCTTATCAGTTCTGAACACTTTCGAAACCGTCCTAAACCCTGATGGCCCTCTCACTGCAGGTCATATAGTACGATACCGATACTGCTGTGCTAGAATTGTCAACTCCATTCGACTCAGGTCCGGTCTTTGCGTGAGAGGCTCCAGGCTTTGGAGCTACCGCGGTCGGGTTCTGGGGATCTGCTGCGCCTGCGCCTGGCCGGGGCAGAGCACCGCGTGGAGGCCCCGGTAGCGGTAGGGCCGGGAGGGGGAGGGCCTGGGCTGAGCTGAGCCGCTGCGCCACAAGGCCACGGCCCTGTCGAAGAGGAGGCAGCAGCGTGTCCGGTGGGCACAGGACTCTTCAGCCATCTTTTTGGCTGGTACCAGCTGTGCTGCTTCGTCATGGCTGTGGCCAAAATCCAGTGCACATCGCATTCTTGCATACAGACATCAGCCATCATCTCCGTCTGCAGGAGCAGAACTACTGGAACATGAGCAGGCGAGGCTGGTATGTGAGACCTCCGCCATCACTTGGGCGAGGTGCGGATGTCCAAGTCCGTTAAGTGCGAAAAGCCATCCGCGCGGCAAGTGCAAGTACAGAAGACAGTGAGCAAGGATCAGCTAAGCAGGACTCTTCGTCCGCCATTGTTCGGATATATATATATATATGTATGTATATATATATATATATATAGATATGATCAATGAGGGGCCCTGGTCCTCACGATGTCACTATGTCAATATGTCATACTATGTTCAAAGTAGACAGTTGGGTCAATGCTGGTGCGCTCAGCTGCCCTTAGGTTCACGGAATCCTCTTTGCGAGCTCGGCGAGTGTGGTGATACTGCTTGTTCCAACCTGAGAGCTGTCATTTTGGACTACTGACGACTTCACCGGTAACCGAGGAGATTTCTGCATCTCAGGTGCTCTCTATCGTTTCCGCGCCGGCTGTGAAGGCGTACGGTCAGACTTTGTAAACTTCTGTGCCGAACAGATCGAAGAGCATTTCTGGAAAGTCAAGTCGCGCCATGATGAAGGACTGGTGCGGCTTGACAGAATAAGGGATGCAGACTACCGCAGCCACACGCGCGAAGCCAACCGTTGCGATTTTCAGGTACTGCACGCTGGGATGTGGCTGTCTTTACTTCGATTGGGAGCTGCTGAATCGTCTGTCTACGAGTGCCAGGCTACGATGAAAATTGCAGGTGTGAGCTGTTGAACTGTTGTTGGGGTAGTTGCAGATCGAACGGCGGCGTGTAGGGCCGTGTCGGGTTGGGAACAGGAAGCCGGGCCCCGGAGACAGAGTCAAGCCGGCAGGTTTCCCATTCACCAGGTCTGGGTTGTGGACCGGGCCTTCTGGAAGAATGCAACTGTCGCTTCGGATGAGTTCAAGGCGCTCAACGCTTTCAGCCAGTGGCAGGGCACTCAGAATTGCCGGGCAACTCCCCGGCCCGGCCTCCACGCTACCGCCAGTGCCGGCCTGAAATCTCAAGAGCTCAGACGGAGGTGCGAGATCTGAGGTTTGCCGGCACATTCGACTTGCATGCCTTCCGCACGGTGCGTTCTTTAAAGCGCTGGTGCGGCTGGGCATGAATAACCCTTGAGTCGGCTCGGCTCGCATGGTATGGGACGATTACACTAGCTGGTTGAATATGCGCAGCTAACGAATGCGGAGCTCTCTGCGTTAAATGCCTTCCAGAACAAATCGCTGAGAAGGGTCTTAGACATCCCACCTACATTCATAGACAGAGAACAGACCAATGTCAGCATGTATGATAACATACGAATACGGTTGTTCTTTTGAACACTTTTGCAGACACATGGCGCAAGGCAAAGTTTAGGCTTTTTGGCACGTATTGCGAGCCAGCCCAGCAGGCCCACAGACGGATTGACACCTAGAACTAGAACTCCCACCAAAAGGCGGCCAGGCAGGCCCAAAGCAGACTGGACCACCGAAGCCTATAAAGATGCATATAGTATACTACATGGAGATGCTAACGCTTTTGACGTCAATAATATACAACATCTACTTAATGAGATGCCAGAAATCGTCAAGGATCTTTTTGCAGCATAACATGTAAGTGATACATCGGGACGCTGTCCCAAAGGCCATCGGCCTCTCGAGGTATTCCTCGCGGTAATGTCGTCATTGTTGCTGCTTGGGAAGTGTGGTGCAAAGTGTTTCCATTTCTGTATACTCATTGCAGCGCTCAATATCTTGAAGATAATATATCCTGAATGACTGCTGAACTTGTTTCACTGTCCTAGCGTACCTCTACTCGTGCTTCTTGCATTCTCACAAGCCTGCTGGGAGCCCTCCTGCGCTCGACAGAAAAAAACACTAGCTGGTTGCAGCGGCAAGTTTTGCAGGCAGCGCTTTCTCGGGACAATTTGGCCGGGCCCATGTCGTCATGGAGTGCGACAGCGTGCAGACGCTTGGTGAATGGAACGGTTTGTGGTTTTCATGCATCTTCCAGAATCTAAAGTACTACCATGCTGAGGACCCACGCGCTGACCGACGACAGCAGTTTCTGTCGATCTGTGCTACATGAAGAGGCACTGAGCCTCCAGACACTAGTCTGCGATTGCAAGGAAAACTCTATGTGGATGAAGATTGCTAAAGTCAGTGCGGGCTGCCAGAGCTTGCTGCGCTTGCCAAGTTGCGACTACAGAGGACTTAAGGAAAATGGAAAGACCGGACCCCTTATGATGAGACTGAAGCACCGAATGCCTTCTGATTTGTGCAGCCTTTGCTCGGATCTGCTTTCGCCAGGACCCGAAACCAAGCGAAACGACTTGGCATGCCTTCTAGTTACCAGTTCACAGCTTCGGATAGGTTTTGGCCTAGACTCCGATACTCCACACTGCTTTCGTCCGAAGTGTCCGGAATACAGATGTATGTAAGTATGTATGTCAGCAATAAGAAAAATATGTATGTGTGTATGCATGTCATAACATACATAAGTAAATCCATTCACGCTCTTGTCGAAATAGGCACGAATACACACACGGACTCGTCCCTCGCAGGATTTGAGTATCTTCTGCGGTTTCATCGGTTTGCGAATACTCTGTTTGGGTACAGTGCACTACTGATCGAGGCCTGTGCGATCTGAGTTTGCCGGTGTCCATTGTTTCCGTTACCGGTAGTTAGCTGTCCTGCTGGCAAAGATTCGGCCAAGACACCGATGTACGATTGTTGTCAGTTCTACTTTTACCACAGAGATGGGGAGTGATTTCTATTCGATGAGGTTCAGCCCAAGTCTGGCATGAGCCACACATAATGTGGACACTAGCTGTGCTTGAAGCTCTTGCCTGCGAGCCTTTCTGCTTCCATGACGAAAGCCTCAGATAATTGCACTGCGCGGAGGCTTTCAACCATCCTAGAGACAATGTACTTGTGACCACAACTGCAGCACCATAAGGCGCACTAAGCACCGCGAAGAGCACCCGCATACTTTGCACAAATGGCCGTTGGATTTGTAGCTTCTTTCCTCGCGACGTATTCCGACATAGTCGTAGCAGGGTTGTCATATGAGACTCATCATAACCAGTTCCTGACCTCCTGGATAGATGCCTCAGGATCTTCAGCCAGCGCCTTGCTCGCCGCCGCCCCGGACCTGGGCGCAGGCGGGCACCGGCTGCTCGGCACAAATTCTTGTCGAGGACGGCTAACAGTTTTTATTGGTGATCGTGGCCGTGATGCGGAGTTCCCTTGCGGAAGCTACTTCTTTCTGCTGTCCTGGTGCTGCTGCTGGGTATTGGTGCGGCTGCAGCGACAAGAGACTCACTGTACATCTGCAAGTGCCGCTGTGTAGAAAGCAGTGGCAGCAACCGCCGCCGCCACCGCCGCCACCACAGCTGCCCGCTACTGCTACTGTAGTACTATACAGTACTGGTACTAGCTTAACAGCTTCTGGTTGTTTCGGCTACTACGACAGCTACCACTATGCGAACCCCTGCCACTATGTTAGCTTTCGCAAGTACCACATTGAGTACCCCGGCTGTCTGTATGTATAGCTACTGCATGTAAATTAAACATAACAGGGCGGGAAGTCATTACAAACACAGTCGCTGACTTTGGCGGTTTTTGCCATCGCGCGCATGCTAATGCTGACTGCCATTGTGGGCAATACGTGTTGCCAGTTTTATCACGAAAGCTCTCCCCAGCCCTTCGTTTCAATCTAGCCAGACATTGTTCTGCCGGAAGGTTTAGGGGGTTTGGGGGGGGCCCCAAATGTGGCGCAACTCGGCCGGTTTTGCCAGCTATCCCCCACGGCATGGGGGCAATTAGGGGTGTGGCCCCCCGCCTCTTTTGTTCGGCCTAGAAAACAGGGTTGTTTGCTTCCTGGGCCGAGCATCATGTTTATACAACAACCCCATGCATGTTCAGCTTCGCACCTCACGCACCTCCGACAAGCCAGAGCTTTCGTCGCCCTTCCCCCCAGGTCTCATGTCGCTATGATTGTCGTACCGATATCCTGGCTGTGGGCGTGCTACGAGGTTCCATCATCACCTGTCGCCATAGCGCACGAAGAATAGCTGTAACAATCATCATAGGTTGCACTGCAGGCCCCTCCCTGAAGGGGCCATTATTGTAAACACGTTCTCGATCACTGATTTGGTCATTAGTTAAGTTTAGTTTCACGGAGAGCATTTTTGCACAGGGTTTTCAGCCATGACTCCATGACAGGAATGAAGCAGCAGTGTGACCCCTGACTAGAGGATTGGACCTGTCGGCAGCCGAATCCAGACACTTCAAATGATGTGTGATGCATGACTGAGTTAACGTGATGTCGGGCAAAACAGTGCCCACCTTCTTCCATAGCGTTTTATTGCCGGCAGAATTGTAATGTTGATCTCTAAATTTCAAACGCAAATTCATACTTGTCTGTGAAAGGACGAGCCTCTCTGGGAAGGGTGAAGTTGCCGCGCGAGTGAGCCAGGGAGTCATCGACATTAGACATTTCTTGTCCCACCCACCCACGCATTGAGCTTTGGGGGGTACGGGTCAGCCGAGTGCCCACCGATCAGCCAGCTGACGGCACTCCGAATTCAAGAGTTCGTGTCAAGTCCTTGTGTCCCTGAGTTGTGACGAGTCAGACGTCGTCGTGAGTGCTAGTGCGTCAGTCTACAACAACAATGGCGATACCTTTCTAGTGGCGTCTCCTGAGTTATGTTATGTAAAACCAGGAAGATATGTTGAACCAACGTGGCCGCGGTTCATATTCGAGTCTGCATCGTGCCTTCCCCCAAGTGCGAAACTGCCGGTGCAGAAATTGGAGTCTCTGCTTCCTTGCCGAGGTACCCGTGGCCCCTGTCCGCTGCGTCCGCCGAAGAAAAGAGGCGGTATCCCACCATGTGAATGCTGCCAGTCCAACTCTAGAACACACAGTGCGGGTTGAAACTGCAAGGTCGAAAAGTTCCCGCATGTGCCCGAGCATTCCCAATAACTTGCTCCATCCTTGCTGCTGATCCGGCGGAGCGCAGAATCCTTCATTTTTATGGCACGGTTTCCGCATCATTCAGGTGTGACATCTAAGTCTTCCGACTGCAGTGTTATCGTTATCCATGGTTGTTAGGTGCATCATATTTTGATGTATTCCTATATACTGCCAGACCTCACGTAGAAGAGCGTCTTGTGAAGGACTCGCTGGAAACGCTGCAGCGAGACCAGTGGACAAGTGGAGACTTCTCCTAGCACTCCAGACATGGTTCTTGTCGGATCACTAGCCTCGGGAGATCCAGCAACTTGCATCCGAGGAGCCTGGACGCCTGACTACCTGATCGACTTTATGCAAGAAGATGGCCTGCAGGATCCTGCGCGATCCTTGGGAAATTCTCAGAACTCCGTGGAACCGTTCGTTTTGACAAGCTGAGCTGATCTGGAGGCTGACTGGATTGCTGAAGATTTGCAGCGTCGCTATCGCTGAGCGTTTGATGACGTGACAGGGGCGTGATTGCCTGTTGAAAGAGTTTGTGGTTGTGGCCCCCCTGAAACAGTTGGGCTGTTGGAAGAAGTTGCACGGCATGATGCGGCGGCAGATACAGGTTCTACACGGCGGACAAGAGATTCAACAGTCCGACACTCTACGGTTTGTTTTTTCTGGGCAAGTATGAGTTGAGGCAAGGCATGCATGACATGTTATCTGTTCTTAAAGACTCCTGGCCAGTGTCATGCAAGTCCGACGTCTTTGCTTGGAGCAACGCCTCTTCAGTGCTGTTCATAGGCAGTGTGCGGTCGTAGTGGACATTGACACTGCCAAAGCTGCAGTTTCAGTTTCTCGTTGATTCAACTCCCTCCCGCAAGCGTTGAGCCAAATCCAGGATCGGAAGAGTCTCGAGTACGGACTTGTCTTTAGGAAGACTGTTGGATTAGACATTGCCGCACTGGCGTCGTCGTGGATTCTTGCGCTGCTCAAAGCTTGCAGAAGTAGAGCCAGAACTCTGGCAGAAGCACATGATCAGTGAGCTATCGATCGATCAATCATGTGGAGGACTCGTGCAACTCCGCACATGGCTCGGCAGTTCATTTAAATCCAACAACTCGCAGTGTGGGCCAGTGCCTTACTAAGGCTTCGGGCCGGCTTGAGTCTTCTGAGACAGCTCAATCAGGTGCCAGGTCTTGCCTAAGCATCTAAAGCACGCACCCCCGAAGCAGTTGAGGGTTCTCCATCCCGTTTGCATAGACCAAGACCACACACTGCTTCGTGACATGCCCGCGGAGCTCGTGGGCGCTTCCTACCGCTGCTCCACCTGCGGCCAAGAGCTTGCCGAGGAGCGCATCGTAATCTCAGGATCGGGAAACCTGAGGCTTTGATCTTTCGACCAGTGCGGCAAGGATAGTAGGGGTCCCGTTGGGGTTCCGTGTCCCTCCTTCAGTCGGTTCGAGTGCCCTCCCACGTTGAGCCGCACACACCACACCGCAATCATCGCTTCTTCGCCTCGTTAATGCAAGAAGAACTTTGGTCCGCTAGTTATCGATTTTCAGGCGGCATCCCTGCTGCCGGCATCAGATTCACGCGTGGTGCCCTGCTCGGGCATCACAGCTCGCAGCTGCGAAGTTGCCGGCAAAACGACTCTGCAGTTTTCCACCTGTGCCGTGGTGGCAGCGCATGGCTGAGGGCCAGATCAACCCCTCGCCTGGGGCGTCGCATAGCAAGAATCCCCACTAGTATCCTCATGATTCCTTGTCCGCAAATCAAAGGCCAATCCTTCGTCATCAACCCCTTCCCTCGCCGCTTCGAGCTGGTCTTGGTGGAGAAGATTGTTGCCAGAGCGGCCTCTGAAATAGGCACCGGTACCGCCCTTTGCCCTGAATCCTCTCAGCCCTTGCTCTGGGCTCCCTGTGAGGCCCCGAGGCGATGCTGGAAAACAGCTGGTTCGAGGGCCATGCTCATCGAGTTCTCGTCTGCACCCACTGCGAGGACCACATTGGTCTCTTGGAAGATTGGCGGATATGGGCGGCCAGGTGAGTAGCGAAGTAAGGGCACCCCCGTCCACATCCAGACCTGTGTTGCATCATTCCATACAGTTGCTTACGAGCAGATAACCAGGACTACACAAACAGGTGGGGGTTTTGAGACTGATGATGATGTTGATGGCGATGATGATGATCACCGGAGCCTTCGTTTAAGTTGGTGTTCAGTATGTTCCCCACATGGCTTCCAGCACAGTGAGCACGCCAAGGTTGGAGCTACAAGGGAAGGCACGGGGACACGATCTATGGGTTGGCGCTGAGCGTCTCCAAGTTCTGGGCCTGGCTCTGCCTGTGCGCTTTGCTGCTTTTCGCGGTGTACCAGGCAACCCGGAGTGCAAGGAAAGATGTACGGGTAGACACGAATGTCCACTTCATATTTAGAGACCCCACCCCTCCTGTAGGGATGCAGGCCACGTCCACCTGGTTAGGCGCGTGTTGGGGCGGTAGCAACAGCAGTCAGCAGTAGGAGCACGAGTAGGCTGTATAGGAATTGGAGTGCGGGTATTATTGATAGCAGGCTGCTCCTCCACAACATCCATGATTTCGGATCTTGCAATTGTTATACGCTGTGGAGGGGGAGGGGGTTCTAACTCGTTCCCTGACTTGGATTTTGCAGTTGGGTGGGGGGGGTTCTAATTCGTTCGCTGATTTAGATTTTGCAACTACGCGGCGGATTCGAAACATGTTTGCATCATTGCATTGGCACATCGCGGCCTCATGGGTGGTCAGGTTGGGCGAGGGCCACTCTGATTGACAGAAGGTTCATTTTGCGGTTCTCACAGCAAAGGTAGCTGCTGGCGGCCATTTCTTGGTAGCATCAGCGACACTTCTTATCGCTCTTCTGAAGTTGTCGCCTCACCTTCTCCTTTGAGGACACGGGGTATATGCCGGCTGTAGGGCGGTCCGTTCTTTCTCTAACAAGGTACCCAACGCAGTTTTGTAGAAAGACACGGGCTTCCAAACTCGCCTGCAGAGTTGGAGTTTCGACAGTCTAACACGACACCGCAGTAGCTTCTCGGAGACCTTGGCATCCGTCAGTTTGTCTCGAAGGCTTCCCAAGAGAACCGCGAGCCAAAGCACACATTCAACAGGCCACTGATAAGCCATACAAGTCTTAGAGAAGCCGTTAACCGCAATGGAGTGAATGACGAGTCGGCAAGCCTGGGACGCTGTGGCGAGGGCGGTAGAACAAAGGCCAACTGAAGACGGGCCTCCAGGAACTTTGCACGCCTTGCCCCTTCGTCTCCTGAATCAAGAGTACTACAGAGAAAACATGTACGTTGCATGGGATCTCCAGTACGCTCCAATGCCCGCCGTGTCCCGCACTGCACTTTCGAAGTCAGGCAGCTCTGGCTGAGCTTTCTTATCCGTTGTAGACTTGTGAAAGATGTAACACTGTATTGTCTGAAACCGATGTTTTTTGCTGAGCAGGAGCTCCAGAGCGCTGGCGAGTTCGTTCAAAAGCGAACTCATCTGTGAAGGGTTGTGGTTTGGAGTTCGGGGTCTGGGAACATGCCAACAATTTGTCCGGGTTCGGGCTTCTTCAAGCGCTGAAATTGAGATGTAAGCTTCTCACATGTTTCGTGAGCAGACAGGGCACCCTAGTAGCCCACTCAACATGCCAAACCATGCCAACATCAGTTGTCTGCTCATAAGGATATCAAGGTAGAAGGCAGAGAGAACTTCCAAAAGTGCATGTCGACGTGGGCCCAAAAGACATATCGTCGGCCGGCCATGCAGGCATGCGATGCCTTAGATTCATGCTCTTTGGCTTCACCGACTCAGAACTCCGGACTGCCGGCTTTCCTCGTACATTCGGGGGGTCCGACGCAAAGTGCGCCAGCACCCACCTGTGAAGATCAGAAGATCACAGTGGCCCCATCCACCTATCACAGCTATCCGCTATCCCTACACGCACGTGACATGGAGACAGAAGCATCCGAAACGGTGATTATCGTTCAAGATATGAAAGAGCCATCAATTCGTCAAGAGTGCAGAGAGCGCACCAGCGACGACACTAGGCCACGTATGTTGCCGGCCTAGCAAGCCGTGATATGTTCCTGCGATGGAGCAGCTGGATGAAGCGCCCTGTGAGGCGGGTGTGCTTCGTGGGCATGCTACAGTGCTGAGACGACAGTTGGAACAACACCGAACCCGAGACAGGTGTCACAGCAGCGTGCCTGAAATGGCAGATAGAATATCTCATAGTTTGTGGCAAGGCAGGACGCCTGCGCTTTTGGGTGACCCTGCTCAGTGGCGAGAAGGTTGGTGCAATTGGACCCGACGCACTGACAGAAAAATTGAGGCTTCTTGGGGAAGCTTGCCGTGTTATCCCCGAACCTTCCGAAAGCTTGTTTCAAGTAGCTCAAATTCAAATTCTGGAAGGTCCTGTGCAGGTGGTTAGGTGCTCCGGCGCACTGCCTTCTGTGATGTGCGGTTGAGCAGGCCTGCGTTGTCGCCCAAAGCAGCGACACGCTTCGCCAACTCCGAGATGTGGCACAGCGAGCACTCGGGAGGAGCGACCTGCTGATACACAGAGTTGGCCAAGTCTGCCAGCATGACGCAGCTAGGTGACGTTTTCGCTTTGTGCAAGGCTCCGAAACGTCTGCATGAATCGAAGCCAGAGACGGCTCGCAGACGAACTTCTAAACCTCGCGAGTTGTATTTCAACCGGCCTCTGGAGAGCGTGAGGCCTTTGCTGGGCTTTGCTCCTTCCGACTCCCCTGGCGAGGCAGGGCTGCGCAACTGTCCAGATGAGATGCTGCGTCGCAGATAGCTTGCCCTGACTTTTAAATACCTTACCATCTCAACAGTTCGGTCAGGTCGTCGCAGTCCGACTGAATGGTAACTGTATGTAACTGTATTGTGAAGATCACCATGAGCAACTACAACTATTGTATCCCTGTCGCTAGCAGCATTACCATCTCCTCCTCTGCCTTCTCGGCCTTTTCCTCGACCTCCTCCGATGGGCGCCATCATCGCCAGAAGAGTCTGAAAATTTGTCTGCAAGGCAGCAGGCCAGGGACGCTACAGAAATACAGTACGGTGGACTTAAGAGACTGCGAACGCCAGGTTGTGTTCCTAGCCAACGGCGCCCAAAGCATCTTCGTCAGGTGCCTTTGCCATTGGATGCCACGATTGCGGAGCTGAATCTTCCCCAGGAGCTTCGCATGCGCAAGCATGTGCAAGCCTTTGGACAAGTCGGCCTCTGATAATCTGAAATGTGCAGCTTTCAGTCGCACGGCGATGTTCCCAAGACAACTTTCGGGCTCAGCAGGACTCGGTGCTTTCAGCCCTGGTGGGCCGCTTGCGTGCGCTCGGCTACGTTAGTTGAGCACTATCGGACGCTGTCAAACACGAAGCAGACCTATTGGGCAGTACTCAATTCGGCATGGTTAGCTGTCGAGTCCGAACTTAAGGTCCGCCAGGACTCACAGGGCCTGGAAACTGTTTTGGTTGCACGTGCGATTCAACGGGACCTCATAGTTTCAGGGCAGCTGTGGTTTACTTAAGCGGCATATGGTCTCGCCTCCGAGCTGGTTGGCAGATGGTGACTGGTGACTGGTGCGTGAAGTTGCGCTTTGCTTTCTGATGGCAGTGTTTTCTCAATGGCCATGATCGCAGCTACGAATCGTCACACCGACCTTCTCGATACCCTGCTTGGATGAAGCCGTCACTACTGGCCGTCACCTGGCAGGTGTGCAGAGCACACGATTTGCTTTTGCGGCTTGCCAGGCCAAAGTTCTTGTAGCGTTGTCCTCTCCAGTCGTGTAGGACCATCGGCGTGTGTTTACAGTACCTATGACTGAGAAGCCTCTTGCTTGCAGCACAAACACATACGAAGACGGTCGCCTTTCGCAGACTAGCGCGACAAGGGCTGTAGGTGCGGGTTCCTTGAAAGTGTTGCAAAATACAGTACAGTAATGCTTTCGTCACGTCCTAAATGAGCAGGCAGCAGCCATTTTGGCTCAAGAAGGTGGGTCGACTGGAACCTTGTGTATGCATACAGCGATATGCCGCGTTGGGGGGAGAAGACCCCGACGTCACTGGAGCTCTATGCCAGATCGCTGCCGGAGGAGGAGGAGGAGGTGATCCCCATGTACTTCCCCATGTACACCGTCACTGCAGAGTTGTTGTTGGAGATGACGAAGATGGAGCCACACGAACACTTGAAAGCTCGCAGTGAGTTGGTGGTCTTCGAAGAGCACATGGGCAGGGCAACCTTTGTCTCGCACCAGTGGCTTGCCGCAGGCCATCCCGACCCTGAGTTCCGGCAGATGCGCGTTCTGCAAGGTGCCTTGAAACGGCTGCTGACAGGCCGTGGCTCGGTTCCAGTGGACTACGTGAGTGAAGCGACAGTGCCCACAGCCAGGCCGATTCCCATGAAGGAGTTTCAGATGCGGCCCTTGTTCCTGTGGTATGACTACTTCGCAGTTCCGCAGTTTGAAAACTGCAGTGTCCATGCAGTAGATCATGGTGACAACCAGCAAGGTCGTGCCATCATGAGCATCCCCGCCTACGTGGGGAAGTGCTGCTTCTTCTTGGCATTGTGTCCGGTCCTGGATTGCCCCTTGGAAGGCAAGCTCCTAAGTGTTAGGACCTGGACTCAGAGAGGTTGGTGTAGGCTGGAGCGAGCCGCCCGGGAGCTTTCCCCCCAACACTCCTGGATTCTGGTCCAGACTGACAGCTCCATGGAAGTCTTACGCAGTGCAAGCCTGGCTGTTGGGAGTGGGATTGTGGGAGATGGTGACTTCACCGTGGCACAGGATCGGGAGAAGTTGGCTCCAGTCATGAAGAACATCCTGCTGCAGAAGCTGAAGCATTGCCTGAGAGCAGGCGATGTTCCGGGCTTTCGGCGTCACTTCAACTTGCGAAGCGTGCACCTTCGGGGCCTTGACGTTGAGATGGACGATATTTTGGTGCCGCAGGGTGATGGGCGTATCTTGCCCGAGTTCTTCCACCAGAACGGCTTCAGGAAGAATGAAGTCGACCCGGCTGGCTGGTGGCCGCTGCATTATGCTGCGCTAAGGGGTGATGCCAAGTTGCTCCAAGCGCTGCTGGAGCGACGTGCCAGTGTCAACTGCCGCACCTCCAAGGATGAACCTATGCTGGGCATACCATCGAAGGTGTCAGCCCTAGATATAGCCTGCTTCTACAAGCACCATGAAGCCAGCCAGTTCCTCCTATCTGCCAAGGCCCAGCTTGAGGGTGGGCAAGCACCTGCCCTGTGCAGGGCAGCCCAGGCGGATGATGCTTTGGGCATACGACTCCTCTGCGCTTCAGGTGGTCGTCCCCTAGCCAAGGACAGCTTCGGCATCAATGTTGTGCAGAGCGCCACTGCAATTGGTGCCACAAAGGCATTGGAGGAGCTAGTGGCCCAAAGCCATCCAAACACATTCCAGCTCTCTGGAGCACTCTTCATGGGCTCTACCTTACGCGGTGGCTCGGCAGCCATGGTCCAGTGGCTCGTCTCTCTGAGGGCAGATATCGACTTCCAGTGGAAGGTACAGCGTGACCTCAGCAGATTGGGCCGCCTGGTGGTTCAAGTGAAGAACATTCAGCATCGTGTTGGGCAGACCTCCATCCTTTCAGCTTTCACATACCATCAACATGGCAGCACGCCACTAATGCAAGCCATCCAATCTGGGCAATACGAGACCGCGGCGGCCATTATTGCAGCCGGTGCCAACATGGGCATTCGAAACTGCAGAGGTTGGAGCGCAGCCGATTTTGCCAGGGAGCAATCGATTCCGAGGTTTTTGCAGATGGGTTTGCAAGGGGATCGACTCGCTTGCCAAAGGGCCATCGAACTGGCCTTACCCGATGGCTACGTGGAGGTGGAATTTTGATTACACTGCCTGTCACGGCTAGCGTTTCTGTGGCTGGTGCATTTCTCCCCTACAGTGCCAAAGTCGACCACGAGCACGACATTTTCCCATTTCACCGAAGGTCTTCGTGGAATAAATGAGTGCCCCATTTTCCCGTTTCACTTGAAATCTTCGTGCACTCAATGATCACCACATTTTTCACCGAAGCCTTGCGTTAGCTCGATGGTCATGGCAGGCAGTCCACGGCCACGGGCCCGGAGCATTTCACCGAGTACTTAGGAACCTCGCTTGCTTGACGAACGCGAGTGCCAAAAAATGAGCAGGCAGCAGGCAAGTAACCACGACGAGCAATCCATTCGAGAAAGTCGTGTATGGCCAGTGGCAGGCCTTGCACCGTGACTGCTGGCAGAAATGATAGCCGCGATTCTTGAACATGCTGCGCAGGGCGATGGCTCGGTGGTGTCATGGGGTTCGCCCTTCGCTGGTGGAGACACCAGCGAGGCCTGCAGGGGCGCGCGTGCCGTTGCATCAGAGGTACCGGGAAACGGTAGCTGCCAAGCTTTTCTGTAGGTCGAGCATGAGCTGATGGACGTCCAGGCGGGTGCCCCGTCGTACTCACACTTGTAGGACGTTTAAGAAAAGCTGGCACGCGAGACGAACTCAAGTGCAGCAAACTCGAAGAGATACACCACATCTTGATGTTTGTATCTCAGCGTTCACTGGAGTCATCTGCAATTTCCAGGAGGTCGCTGCCAATTTAATGGCATTTGCTGCAATTCGTGTCGATGGCTCTGTCGTGGTGCCAGATGCCCAGCTGCTGGGGCTTTCTTGAAACAATCGCATTCCGATTCCGAAAGTTGCAGTAGATTGAGCACTCCCGTTGCGCTTTGCATGCTCCCGGTGTCGAGCCTGAGGTGGGGCCATCAGTCCTGCGGGGGTCAGATAGACGAGAGCTTGCAAGCGGCTTGGCTGACCCATCATTTCGTAGCGGTCGGAGTCGTAGCATTGTGTGTCTCTTGAGTGAGTGATGTGGAGCTGCTTGCCACAGGCCAAGCTGAGTGAGAATGGCGGCGTCCGGACCTCGACGCGAGTTTGACAGCCTGCACACAGCACAGTGCATCATCGGACGACCACAACGCCAAAGTCGCAAACTTTGGCAACGGACAGAGGTCATCACTTGCTGGTGGGTCCTTGATGCTTGATGGGCCTTCAGCCCGAGCAAGGTCCGACGAATCGTGACCACAGACCGAGCGTTTGCGGCATTGAAGCGCACTGCGCTCAGCGTTTGATCTTGCCCTCCTGAAAGTTAAAAGCTGTCGGCAAAAGCAGGAAGCCCCTTACTCGGTGTGACAGGACATGAGCTGTGTCTCAGGGAGCGCGGCGCATGGCGCTTCACTAAATAAATCTCCTGATCATCATCCACCCTTCGATCTCTGCAGTATCTCTGCATTGTGTCGGGATCCAAAAAGGGGGAGTGTTGTGAACAGCAGCAAAACGTGATGCAAGCGAGGCGACGGCAGCGTGGTGAGCTGGGGCTGCATGTATCCAAGTGCACCTCGACAGAAAGCAAACCTGCTGGAGCTCAGCAGCCATCCACAACCCCAGCTGTGCCTCTGCTGCGAGGCACAAACCCCGGACCTTGGAACACGGCGAATTAGCCTGAAGCTGAGACAAGATCTAGCTGCAGGCCGTGGTAGACAACATAGCAGGCAGGCACACGCAAAGATCGAGGATCGAGGCAACCGCGTATGGTAATGATAATATTGCAATTGTGCTTCGAGCACCCTCTGAGAAGACAGATGCAAAGACAGACAGTGACAGGCAAGCAAACGAAGGCTATGCGTGTCGTCTTTCGCACTGCATATTCGAGTGTTGCCTCGGGAGCTGCTTTGCATCCATGCTACAGGCAAGCCGCTGCAAGCCACTTCTCACTGGCTTTGTATAGTGGCTGCCTCTGGCGTGGACGCAACGCACTGGGGACACGTCGCTAGCTGGGTACCGCATTGTTTTTGTCAATTTTCTGTTTTTTCTGTCTATTTTTCTGGTTTTAGGTTGAACGCAGACGACAGAAAGAAGGAGAGAAACGGAAGCCGGAAAGAATGAAAGGAGCAAAGAATCAAAGAAAGAAATCAAGAAAGGAAGAAAGAAAGGACGGGACGACAGAAAGAAAGAACGAAGACGGAAACAAAGGTCCAAGGAAAGCATAACTAAAACCAGGAAAATATACAAAACAAACCAGAAAAATACACAAAAAAGAATTCCAGTCAGAGGTGGAGAACGGTCACGGCCACCAGGCTAGATTCCGAAAACCAAGGAAAACATAACTAAAACCAGGAAAATATACAAAAAAAACAGACAAATATATAAAATAAATACTCTCTCCTCGCTAGCTGCGAAAGGGTTATCCAGCAGCAAAAACGTTTCGAAACGGGGAAATGTCAAAGTGACCGCAAGATGACAGAAGAAGCTGGACAGGTGTCCCTGGTTTGGGGATGTTTTCTGAATCAATTACTTGCGGCGGCTTGCAAGCTAGACTTCCGTGTCTGCCAGATATGCACAGTGTGCATGGAGCGCATAAGCTGAGAGGCAAGCCTACTGTTGCTGTTGCTTTGTCCTGCCTGACCCTAAAACCAGGGACATTTTGGTACTTGTAGGTGCCCAGCACCTGTACCAGTATACAGTACCGCTTAAAACTAACGCCAGCGTCAGAGAAACAGATCGGCAGGCAGCATCTACGCAACCCGCGCCGCCTTCGCAGCAGCCGTGGACTCACGTTCCCACATCGATCCCTTGCTTTTGCTACCTCGTGTCACAAACCACACAAATTGATGTGGGACTTTCACTTGCTTGCGCCTTTAAGGTTGATGCAGGCGGCGGTGTAGTTACGTGGGGCCACGCAGGCTCGACAGAAACTCCATTATGACTTCGATTTGCCGGTGCATGTGCTGTTGCAGTTGTAGGAGACCTGGTCGCATCTGTGTAAGCGATACTGCAGTGCCTGCATTTGCCAGCTTGCGGTGGCGATTGCACAGCCGTGGCACAGCACCTGCAGGCTCGGCCTGCTCGCTCTGCTTTTTTGCAGTTTGCAACGCCAATGGGCGTGATTAGGGTCTTAGGAAAGGGGGCAGGTCGGATTTTTGTTTCGGGAACTTGTGCGCGACGGAGATGGAACGTGTCCTGAGTCGGATTGACTGAAGTACTGAAGCGGCGACTTCCCAAACAATCCGGGGAGTGTTGGTTGCTTTCCCCGGCGCGTTGGGACTTCCGGCGGTTACTCCAGTCATGCCAGCCTGGGGTTGACGTCTTGTCCCAACGACCAGGAAGGCGTGACGCGAGTGTGGCTCTGCTGCATCATGTGAGGCCACTCAGTCCCATTTAGACAGTGATTATACCTTGTGCTGAACGTTCCTGAGGTATTCGACCGACAATGCTTTCGCAGCGCTACGACGAGATGGCGCCGTCTCTGTCTCATCAACTCCATGCATTTGCCGTTCAATGCCTTTGATATCGGACAACTTGGTTTGAGCGAGTCCTGGCAGTAGAACCCACATCTCCGCCTTCCCGCAACAATTTCACGCTCTCGAGTCAGCCTATCCAGAATTGACATGAACAGTCATAGACAGTGAGAGTTCCTTTGTGCAAGTTGTACTGCGGAGGTCGTGACTTGGGGATCTCAGACCGCCGGTGGCAATTCAGATGCGGTGCATGACCTGCTTCAACAAGGAGTGCAGAAGGCTCGGTAGCAGATTCCAGCGAATCCCTGGCACAGCTTCTGCAGAGCAGGGATCGCACTTCCTTCTGCTGCCGTAGAATAGGTGAATGTTTAGTGACCTGCAGTGGTTAGTGCGACACCGTTCTTGTACTTGGACTCTGAAGCTCAGTGCAGACATTCAGATCATTCGGAGTGCCCAGTGGAAAGGTTGTGATACGGAGTGCTCACATTAGGCAAACATGATGAGATGGTCCAATCGACAGCATTGTGTATGTCGTTTGTCATCAACTGGCTAGCCCTTGTCCTGGCTGCAGGTCGTCGCCACAGAAGCTGCCTTCGCCGCGCTATGTGCCGATCGAAGCGTGGTAGCCTGGGGCGACCACCTTGCTGGTGGAACTCTGGAGGCTGTATTCTTTGCGAGCGTCGCTGCAGACAGACACTTCGTGTTCTTTTTTGTTCTTTACATTTCTTTACAATAGAGTATATGAGCCTTACGGCATCGAGGGGGGGCTGCCAAAATCTGGTGTACGGTTTCTTGTGCTTTAATTTGTCCCGCGGCAGAAGCGGCATCATCAAGCTTGACGTGCATGGCCGGTAGTGTCGCTGGCGTTAGGACGACGGTGCTTTCCATAGACTGGAGCCAACCTTAATTCTGGGCTGTAGCTGTCACTGGTACTGGATGCACGAAATAGTGGTTTGGACCGACCCTACTTGCTGCAATGGTTCAAGATTGCGTTGAATGAGGCTTGTGCTCGACCTAAAGCATCCTCCCACTGCGACTGATCGCCTCACGCCAGAGGCGCCGCTGCAGGATGTTGCTGACCTTTGTTCATCGCGCAGTGCTTTTGCTGCACTGCAGATGGATGGCACCGTCCGGCGGGGAGCTCATGTGTGTTGCAGGAGCGGTTCCTGCAGCAGGAAGACTCGAAATGACAATGCATTGTAATTGTAATTCGACAGGAAGTTCTGACACAACGGGGTGACCTGGCCCAAGCAATCCGCTGCCTTCGCTTGCAGCAAGGCATGAGATGAAAATACAGCCTAAACAATCTTGGACATATGTCCTCCAGCACAGCAGATTCGACAAGGCACAAAGCCAGCCGCTGCATGATTCCTGCCACGTGAAGCACACTGCTTTCACAGAAAAGTTCGTCCTCTAGGCCCATCACGAGACTAAGTAGATTCCAGATTGTGGACACCATCGATGTACCCATTGAGCGTCCGTCTCTCCTGTCTTTCCCTCTCTCTCTCTCTGTCTCTCTCTCTGTCTCTCTGTGTCAGTCCCTCTTTCGTTCTCTCTCATTCGCTCTTTCACTCTGGCTCACTCCCTCTTTCTCTCTGTCTCTCTCTTTCCGTCTCTCTATAGATACATAGCCGTCGCATTCATAGGCAGGAATATACCCACATGTGTGTGCATAGACCTATAATCATACTGAGTGCAATGCACGTGTCAGTGGGCTTCTAAGTTGACTTCACCAGATCTCACGAGTTGTTGCCATGGAGACATGGCTGAAAGCCGCCAGAGACCAAGCCGCAAAGATCGGTGACTTGGCAGTCCTATCATGGCCCAAAGCACATGACTGGCAATGCTTGGTGGCTTGTATCAGCGGCAGTTGGTCCTACTGGCTTTTGCTCGGCCTCCGACAAACTCTGAGTCGAGGTCGAGGATTTTTCGGGGCAGGGGTCTGGAGTCGGCATTCTTCGTCCAGGCGAAGACATTCAGAAACAGGCCATCTTGCTGGCCGATGATGCCGCGCAGAAGGGCAAGCGTGAGCTCAGTTTCCGCCCCTCGGATGCAGGTGACCTGCGTCCTCGTCTGCGAAGCTGGCCTCAACCCTGCCCTCACTTGCAGGCGAGGGTGGTCTCGGCTTCGAGTTGAATGGCGCCTCTTCTCCAACTGAAAGTTCCACAGCCTGTTTGGTTGGCCGGCATGAGGACTGCGCAAAGCAGGTACACTTTGGCATCATGTTGAACGGGGGTCTGGGCGGAGCCGAGGTGTTTATGTTGCCTCGGTTGACCCGGACGGCCAAGCGCATCAACTTGGAGTGCAACAAGGATGCATGGGTTTTGCTTTCTGCACTTGCCCTCCGACCTTGTCGGTGAATGTCGGCTGGAGCTAGGCCACTCGGCGTTGTGAAAATGAACTTCTCGATTTTCCGACAGGAGACAAGCTTGTGTCCATTGCAGGCACAGCTGCTGGGAGGATACGAAGGAGCGGAGCTACCTCGTCTCATCTGCATGTTGTCCGCGCAGGCTATGTCATCCCAGAGAATCCCAAAGAGGAGTCTGTCAAGAAATGGTGGGCCCCTCGCGGCTTCCAGGGATTCGCTCCAAAGCGAAGTGTACAGCGCAGCCTAGGCTCGACGAGATGATCCGGCCCGGGAGGCTCACGTTCCGAGCCCCAAATTCAGCATCTTAAGCACGACAGTGTGGGTGTGAGTGGGCACGTGCGCGTGCTGTGTGTGGGTCAGAGCCTGGTGGTCGGTGACAGCAGTGCAGCGAGCAGAAGAGAACGTGGGTCGTTTGGGACAGATTCTGATTGCGACTGCACTGTGCAGCTCTAGGGCTCTGGACCACGCAAGGCCGCAGTCCCGCATCTCATCAGTGCTTCACGTCTCGGAACTTCGACCTGCGTACTTGAGGTTTGTGTCCGAGGCGATGAAGGACGGAACAATTTCAGCCTCCGCGGTTGTCTTCCCCAAAGAGGCAGACTTTGCAGTGCCTCGTCTCGAGTGGCAACTACCAACTGTTGCGTCGCTGCGATGAAGCTACCTACAAGGACACTGGCCTCACGGCATTTCCAGAGCAAAGCTGGCAAGAAGATGATCTCGTGGTGGTGCTGCCCGAAATGTCGACCGGAAAGGACACATTGCAGCATTATCCCGTCAATACACTGCGGCATGAATGCGAAAGCAGAGGTGCGGTGTCTAACACACACACACAGACCCGATCTTCGACTCTTTCATCCTGGCTTCAGGAAGTTGCCATCTCAAAGGCGTCTACGCAGCATGCCTCTTCCCTCGCAAACGTCAGCACTGAGGCGATGTAATGTAACCAACTGCATGAGAGTCCGCATGGTTGACGAAGACGTCTTGCCAGACCCAACTTAGAGCAGAGCTTTATGCTGCTCGCGACGAAGTCCAATCGCTGGAGCGATCCCTGGCACAAAGATGTTGAATGCAATCTAGGATTTCGCAGGTACGCAGTGTCATACTGCATACTACGTTCGAGACAGCCACGACCCTTCAAACTTGGCATGTTTTTAGGAGAGCTGGAAGACTGCCGCCAAGAGTGCTACGAGCTTCGCCACTTCGCAGCCGAGAAGGCGACCTAGATCTCACTGGCGTGGATGCAGCAGCCAGAGTTTCTGAGAAGACTCAGGAAACACGGCAAAAGGTTCAGCTATAAGTCTCGGCTCGGCTCAGCCGCAGGCAGAGGACACCAGCTTGCGCTCGGGATCTCGAGAAGCACTGCGCTTGAGAAGAGCCGGCTTCCTAGAATCTGAGTTTAGTCAAAGCCGAGTGAGACTCCGTCCCGGCATGGATTCTGCTTCTGCTCTGCTGACAGATCACTAAAGCTGAAGGGCCTGAATTGCGACGGCAGCTGTCAAGTAAGAGATCTACTTCTCTTGTTGTTTCCCGGATGGAACGGCTGTGACTTTACTGCCGGACTCTCGATCCTAAGTAGAAGCGTCCTGAGCGTTTTTGTCGGAGGCATTGGAGCAACTGGAGCAAGCGCAGAAGGAGGCCGAGGAGAGCCTCATGGGGCTCCGAGGGGTTCCATCGCGCGGCAGCTGAGCTTTTGTCCTGTGCCACGGTTGCTAGGAAATCACTTGGCCTGCCCAAACCTTGATATCCAATGCCGGCTCGTCCCTGCGAAGTAGGAGGCAAAAACGCCTGCGGTGTCTGTGCTGAGTGCTCACCGGGTTTGCTTCGTGTCACGCTGAGCGCTCATTTGCAGGAGTACAAGAAGAAAGCTCGAGACTTGCAGGCGATGCCCACGGATTCTTGTATTTTTCGAATATCCTGTACTTGTTAAGCAGTGACCCCATGAACACCAGGCACAGCCTGTTCAGACAAGCGCAGTGCATACCGAAAGGCCCTGTGCAGGAAGGCACAGCCAAAACCTTCGTGTAGTAAGCACTCTGTGGTATGGCTAACTATCTGTTCACTGCCGGCAATGTTTGCTTTCGTTGAATGCTTCATAGTCGGGGCCGGACCTCATTAGGTGTCATTGGGCTCATCAGTACACAAGCGTGCAATATGAAGTCGCATGAAAGTGTTTGGTTCTGCCGTGATCAAGTTCAACAAAAGCAGGGCTCTTTCGATACGTGGATGCACAGAGAAAGAGAGGTCCGGCTCGAGACCTCGACGGCAGCTTGTGACTCGGCAAGCTGGAGGAAGATCGGGCTGGGAGGATGTGAAGCCTGTCGATACCCACTAGGTCACTAGTCACTATAGATCCTACAACTGTAGTACATCTTCCCGCGGGTGTTGAATATGTGAGGCGTTTCAGGCAACTGCAGGTCGCCTGAGCCGCGCAGATGCCCTCACTGTCGGTGCAATTGAGGTGAAGAGCTGCGTTTGGAGTCTATGCAGAGCGAGGACACTCTCGAGCCAAAAGTTGAGGGACTAATCCTGGCCACAGGTTCGCACCTGAAATTGGGGAACACGTGAAAAAGAGAGAACATGGCCGGCCTGTACTCCCACGTCCCCTGGACATGTATCACGTTTCGAGTAGTTTCGATTTGAGGATCGCGCAATGGAAGCGATGGAGGGCCGGGAGCAGATACTCGAGGAGGAGGCTCAGCAGACGTTTTCTATGACAAGTCTGCTCAAAACAATGGTCAGTTTTCGCAAGCCCACTCGAGCGTCGTGCTGATGCGTCTTGGCTCAGTAGTCGCCGGCGCTGGATTCGCTGGCCCTGTCCGAAGATGGCACTGCAAAGCGCCCACAGTTCTGAGGAGCAATTGGTGACAGCCATTGCGAATGACGATGTGGAGGAGATGTTGACAGTCAGCTGTGACCAGAGTGTGACGAAGAGCATCGGATCCATGCTGCATGTTGCTGCAATGTACAGCTCCGTTGCTTGCGTAAAGCATCTGGTGACAGACATGGCTGATGTGAACTTGCGCAACAAGGATGGGTACAGTCCCATTCACTTTGCATCAGCCGACGGCGACGCAGAGGTAATTCGTTCGCTGCTTGCGGCAAGGGCAGACTTGAACCTGACTACCCCCGACGCCCGGGCAAGACTGATGAGAGGAGCCTTGGCCCTCGATGCTTCTGGCGGTAGGAATCCCCTCCACCTGGCGGCTGAAAAGGGCCGGCTGGCTGCAGCCGAGGTTCTCTTTGCGGCATGTCCGGCACTGGCAGATGCCAAAGACTTTGATGGCGCACTTCCTCGAGACGTCGCTTTGCGTGAGGGCGCTTTCGCCGCGAAGCTGGCGCCCAACCGCAAGGCTATCGCGGAACTGCTAAACCCTGCGGAGGAGATTCCAGAGCTTGCTTGCTTGCGCGAGCAAGCAGACGTGGATGCTAAGAAGCGGAGGCATCGGTTGGACAAACAGGAGGCTATAGCCAAAGCGGCGAAAGCTCGGCTGACAAGTAGGCCCCCTTCTGATTATGGCTATCAGGCCAAGTGGCCAGACATTTACAAGATGCAGGTTCGCGATGTCATTCCATGTCTGAACCACGAGCTCCTGGCAGCTTTGTCTCTCAAATCGGAGCAGCGACACAGCATCCTGAGAAACCTGTGCGAAGAAATAGCTGAAGGCGTCTTCGCTTTCCAGATGGTGCCAGAAGCAGACGTGATGAGCTTAAGCACCAAGCTCCTGGAAGAGATTGATGGCGTGGAGGAGTGGGCAAAGCAAAGTGACTGGGAGCTGCGGCGTCCGAATTCGATGAATCGCTCCGCGGCCGCAGCCGCGAGCGCGCCGCAGTTGCATGACATGTCGACTTGTGGAGCAGTGGAGCATTCGAGGCTATGGGGTGGTCCTTGAGGATCTCGGTCTGGGCGCCTTTGCTGCCGCTTTGGCGACTGGCCTGGCATCCCCGCTTGCTGCCGCACTTTATCCCGAACGGCGCTTCGGCAGCTTCTGCTGCAGAAAGCGAGGTTGCAGATCTTGGCGCTGTTGCAGAGAGGCCTTTGCGGAATCATGTCTGTGCTGCACAGAGCCAAGGGGTCTTCAATGACATCCATGCGTTCACTGTGCGCTACCGTGGTGGGGAGGACAATCCCATAAGATCCCGTAGAGTGACTTTCAGCTACGGATTTACAGCAGCAGATCAAGTTCGGATCTTGGTGTTTCCGCAGGTGCTAGACATGCTAGACCGGAAGCGTAGCAGCCGACTGATGCGCGGCTCCGGCAGAACCAAATTAACCTCGGGTATGTGGATGTGGGACCCCCTCTTTGCAGGATCGCTTCCTTGAGACGCACGTGGACTCGAGTGAAGTGACCTTGAACATCTGTCTCGGCGGCGATTTTCGAGGAGGCAAGAGGTGTCGGTTGCAGCTTCAACAATACGCGACGTTGGCCCGGGTTGTTGGGAAGCTCCCTTGCAAGGAGGAGTGTACTTCCACGGCCTGGACACTCAGGAGGGGCCGTCAGATCCAATGACTTCGCCACACCCTTCCGACTGCACGAGATGCGCTGTCACGCACGAGCATCGCGTGGGCACTGCCATTATCCACCTCGGAGCTCTGGCATATTGCGTATGCATGCCTCAGCTCTGCAGCTTCATGTTACGTCATTAGACTAAGTGGATGCTCGTGCAGCACGTGGCAGCATGCGCTCTTGTCGAGTCAAATGCCCGAGGAAACCACATACATGGTGCTCACAGCATCGAGGACGGCAGCAGGACGAACTTGATTCTTTGGTGCCGGTCGTCGCCAGCGAAGAATGGAAGCGAGCCGCCTGAGCTTGACTGACCACCCAGTTCAATGTGCAAGAACCACGTCTTGTTTGCCGTCTTCGGATTCTGCGGATCCTTGTACAGTTGCGGAGCCTGCAGCAAAATGATGACCACTTCAGCGACCCTTTGCGTTTTATCTACTCAGTACCCCAGTGCGCGTGAGTTGAGCGATGTTCACGGTTCTAGCCACGGCACCATTTCGTCACGTGTTGATGTCCTTGGCCCTGGCCGCAGGTGCAGCGATTGCGGGTGAGCATCAGTGCCCTCAAGAACGAGCACCAAGCAAGCGAGCCCGGCATTCTTCACTCGGGTTTGGTTTGGCCACGTTTGGCCAGAATTTACCAGCCCATCGAAACTCAGCTCCAAGGATAGTGCCAGCATGCTGCGGCCTGTCCTGGCATTCGGAAGCTTGATGTATGCGATGCTTGAGTGAGCATGTCGGGCCAGCGTTGCATCACATGGCAGGCAGCCGTGTCGCAATGCAGGAGCTGAGAGAGAGCCAGGACACTCGATTTCGGATCGATTCCGGGACCCTTAGGGCTTCAGCTGTTGCAGGTTTCTCAGAGGTTGGAGACGGGAACTTGCTTTGGTTTGGTTGCGGCCAGATTCTGTTTCGTTTACTTTTCAAACGGGATAAAGCCCGCATTCCTTGGCATGCACAGGACCGGGCTGCAGAGCTGGAGAAGCGGCTGGCGCAGGCAGCAACGGCGAAGACGGACCTGGCCCCTCGGCTGACAGGGTGTTCTGCGCAGCCGCCACCTGCCACCTCCTGCTTTCCTCGTCAATTTTTCATGTGTAAGTCTCTGTTGACTGCAAGGCTGCCCCGGAACGGTTTCAAATCTGCTTGTGAGCAGGAACTCTGATGGCATCACATGTACATCTCGAAGCTACCAACACAATGTCGTGCTGTCATATCGTGCAAGACAGGTGTTGGTGTCCAAGCAGGACTCGCGCAACACGTGCAGTGCAGGAGCGCATGGTGCAAGAAGCCTTGGCGCGAGCCGTCGACGCCGAAACACAGGCGGATCCGTTTGACGAAGCCAGTAGATGGCTCGGTACGTGGCTTCGGTTTGGTTTGGTTTTCTGAAGCAAGAGAAGGTCACATGCGGCCATTTAGGGAGCCTGTGCACGAGGCATCTCGGTTCAGACGTTCGCTTGGAGGTCAGCAATGGAGGCGTTGCTCCAATTGACTGCGCCGTCTGATGTTCAGATCCGAGAGGCTTTTGCAGCAGAGCTGCCAGGGTGGCGCCAGAATTGGAGGGCTGCGATTCCAACTTTGACCCTCAGCTGCTGTCTGGCTTTGGTATGTTCAAACGTGTTTCAGGTGAAAGTCGGAGTCATCTTTCAGAATCTCATTCAGCCGTCCAAGCCGCTGTCATCTTCGTTTAAAAGATAAAAGCCGTCCAGACTTCGGGCATCTGTGTCCTGCCAAGGAAGCGATTGTCACGAACCAAGCACGCGAAACTGGCGACGCAGGTGCTCGAACTAATGTCCACTGCCGGCGTGACGACGACGGCAGTTCACATCAGTATGGTTATAAAGGCCTGCGAAAATGCTCGGCTTTGGCACTCAGCACTGCACTTGTTAAGCAAGTCAATCCTGGATTCTGTGCAAGCAGACACGGCGGTCTTCAACTCTTGTATCAATGCGTGCAAGGCAGCTAAACAGTGGCAGGTGACCCTGCAACTGCTACTGCAAGTCTGCATGGAATCGTTAAAGTGTAACGAGCGGAGCTACAGCGCAGCGATGAGCGCCTGTGAGAAGGCAGGTCAGTGGCAGCCGGCACTTTCAATTCTGCAGCTTATGAGGCAAAGGCAGGATGAATGTGATGTTTTTTCTTGTACCGCTGCGATCAGTGCGTGCGGAAGAAGTGCTTGCTGGGAGATGGCTCTTGGGCTGCTGCACAGCGGTGTTGGGAGCCGACTGCTTGCTGAGGCGTCTCTCAATGCTGCCGTCACCGCATGCGGTGTTGCGGGAGCATGGCAACATTCCCTACAAGTATTGGCCTTGGCATGCCAGCTTCGACTGCGGAGCCCTATTACCTTCAACGCTGCCAGTTTCGCGTGTCATGAGGCAAGCTGTTGGCAGCTGTCTCTCGTCCTGCTGAGAGACATGCCTCTCGCACATGCGACCACGCCAGATCGTGCCAGCTTCAACACTGCCATCACAGCCTGTGGACGAGGGGCTCAGTGGGAGCAAGCTCTGCAGTTTCTTAGCAAGCTCTCTCAAGAACGGAGCTTGGATCGAGTTAGCCTGGCTGCCGCAACAGCAGCTTGCGACATGGGGAGGCAATGGGAGGCCGCGGTAGCGCTTCTCGAAGAATCCATTCGCAAAAAGATGCTGAGCGGAGCATGTTTCACCTCAGCCATGAGCGCCTGCGCGCGCAGCAGGGGCTGGGAGACGGCTTTGCGTATATTCAGCTGGATGCCCGGGCACACGGTGAGGCAGGAGGCTAGAAGTTTTGGAGCGGTGCTCAATGCATGCCTTGACGGAGATTCCTGGCCGTGGGCTCTTGAGCTCCTTGAGATGATGATCAGCCAAAAGCTGGTCCCGCAAGGATGTCACGTTGGATCTGTCACCGCGACCTTGGAGCAGACGAAGGGACGAGAGGTCGCACGACAGTTTCTGGACGGTTACCGTGCCGCTTGGGCATTGGAGGACTTGCCAGGTGGGGACTTTCCAAGACTGGGGGTCTTGCCCGAGCTATCAGATCTCGATGAGTTTGTAGGGTGAATCATGCGAGTACATCATAATCCTTCTCGCTTTTGAGACACTTCCCAGGTAGAGATGAGGACGGAGACTTGAAGGCTGCAGTGGCTGCAGTGTCCCAGTGCTTTGGCCTTGCGTCGATATGATCGTTATGTCTCTGTGAGAATGCATGAACACACTACGTATCCATGTATGTATGTGTAATCTGTGTAATGAATGTAACGTAAGGTCATGTATTGTAACAGTATAACGTAGCCTAACATAACGTACCGTAACGTATCTACGCATGTATGTAAATATGTATGCATGTGTACAGAAAGGAGAGATGTCGCAGTATGTATGCATGAACAGGTGCTGCAAGTGCGGTGTACATGCTTGGAGAGGTGTTTGTGGTAGAGCACGAAGGATCGTCTGTGTAAATGTTGCGTTTCAAAGCTGAAGAAGTTGACGATGAAGTCGTCGGCTTTCAAGCTGCATGTCGCTTAAAGTAGTGGAATGAGCCAATGAGCTGCAAGACTTGGTGTGTCGTTGTCTCCCTAAACCTCGTCTGACTTGTCGAGCACGCGTGCAAAATGTTTTCATGCATTGCATGTACTGGCATGTATGTGTATGTGTGTATGGTGTGCATATGTGTGGATGTATGTGTATGTATGGGTGGATGGATAGACGGATGTGAGTATGCATCCATGTATGCACGCATGTATTATGTTTAGATGCGCTGTGTCATCGTGCATATGCACTCATGCATGCATACATGTGTGTATGCACGTATGGAAGATGTAGTTGTGCATCTGTGCATGTATGTTTGCATGCATTGAACGAAGTCTCGTCAAGAGATGGCTGTGTCGTTCTGTCTCGTGCAAAGTACATCACCGCACCTGTAACCCAGCCTCTTTTATCCTTGGGCTGTCTGATGTGTCTTTTGCATGTAGGCAGGCATGTAGAAGCATATGTGCACATGTTTACGTGTGCATGTGTTGTGTTTGTTTACTTGTTTCATACACGGGTGCAGTTCTTGGTTTCAGACCGAGTGCTCACTGCATGTGTTCGGTCGAGTTGTAGCGATACTGATTCGGGCGGAAGACATGATGCGAATTGAGGTTTGCGTTTAGGGAAAGCAAGTTGGACTGCCGCAAGGTTTCCTCAACTTGAAACCGTCGCCACGGGATGCCGAATTATTGCTGTCAGCAAGCCTGCAGGCAAGGTTTCTGCAAAGTCATTCATACTTCGCTCTGGCGGCTTCGGGTGTGGTACTTCAAAGATTTGAGCCTGTGCTGTAAATGGTTCCCACACGCCCTTTCAGAACTGAGCCCTCTCTCCGCACTGTCTGCAGGAATCCAAACTGAAGTGCTTGTTGACGATCTTAGCCGAGTGCTTGGCCGTCCTCTCTCCATGGTCTCGCGTCTCGATTTGCCAACCTCGGGAGTGTTGCCTATTGTGTTGGGTAGTGGAGACTCCTACTCTGCCGCTTGGTACCGGAGCTGCTTCGCGGGGCGGCTGGTTTCCAAGGAGTACATCTGCCTTTGCGAAGGCATGCCCCTCGGAGCTTTGGGGGCGACGGGAACGATCACCAAGCGTCTGAGCACACGCCAGCTTCCAGATGGAGGAAAAGTTGCTGAAGTCTCAGAAGAAGGGAAAGGGAAGGAGGCCAGGACGGAGTACGAGATCATTCGTAGGTACCTTAAGCCACCCGCAGCTGGAGCGGGAGCAGGCCGAGAGCTCATCCTGCTCCGAGTTCAACCCCGCACTGGGAGAACACATCAGATAAGGATACACCTGGCATATCTCGGAAGGCCTCTGGTGGGTGACTTGACATATGGCCACGGCCGCAAAAAGACGATGCTGGAGTGTCCACGCCTGTTTTTGCACTGTTGCAAGGTCTCCCTGGTGGATGCAGCAAAGCAGAATTTCACTGCAGTGGCCTCTTTGCCTGGAGAGTTGCAAGAAGTTCTTTCAGCACTCCGGTCGGTTGACGCATGCACACGTTTTGTCACAAAAAATGCAGCCCGTCTGCGATGTGCAGTGTTCCGCAATGTGGTGTACTCAAACATGCTGCAGCTGATGTTGGAGGTTCTAATGTTCACCTTGAGCACATTAATGAAAGATCAGCTGCTTAGCGGCCTAGCGGCTGATGAGTTCTGCTAGCGTCTTGCGTCTTTCAATCGCTCTGGGTACTTCTTGGTGAGAAGATGTGCAGTCTCAGTACGTGCCATGCAGGCAGAAGTTGCTCGCAGGGAGATCTGCAAGTTGGAAGCGGTGAATCTTGCCGAGGCCCGGAGCATGTTTAGGCCATCACTGGCTGCCGAGGAAATCGCTGGACGTGCCTTGCAAGTCTTCTGAAGTCATGCTGACCCTAGGTAAATCTTGTTGAGGCGTCAGCGAGTCAGCAGCGATACGAGGGCCAGCTGCACAAGTTGCAGCAGCGCAGCTGGGCGGACCAGGGAAGGATCGAGACTTTATGCACGGGAAATCTTTCAGCATAGCATGTCGCAGATGTTTTTGTTTATGGCTCAGGGATGCTCAGCGTTTTCGCCTTGGCTCTTCACAGTTGCAGCCGCCCGCCGAGGTGTCAGCGAGCTCCAAGCTGAGTTGGACGATTCCTCAGACAAGAGGATTTGCAGCTCAGAGCTCATGCTCAGCACCTCTCAGTGGATGAGTTTCTGTGGGCCAGGCGCAGCCGGCTTCAGCTCATCAGGCCAATGGATGCGCCCCTGAACCAGAGGCAGGGAACCAGCAGGGGACAGGGGTCAACGACTTGGGCTCTGCTGCCGCTCTACTCGAAGTCCAGAATGAAAGCTAAAAGTGATTGTTGATTGAGACTGTCGGCTTGTGCGACAGGAGGTGGCAGAAGAGCAGCCCACGGAGAACGCTGCGCATTCCTGAGAACTCGACTGCGAATCGGCAGACTCGCAGGCACGGGTTGCCGCCATGTGAAAGCTGCAGGCACCCTCTGGGCAAGGTATTGCGGCGGGTGCTTTCGACAACATTCAGGACGTTTCTGAACCTGGAAGTGAAAAATCTTTTGCATGCCGGAGTTTGCTGCTGGAAAGAGCCGACGTTGGGTTCTTGCAGACTTGGCAAAATACCACAAGCCGTCTCCTGGTTCCCATGCGCTGGCCCAGCGAGGATGTGTCAGAACTACAAGCTCACATTCATGTTCTCGAGCAGCAGTGCTCTACGCTGCAGCTCCTCGCCTCAGGGTCACATATTGGTTTTCGGGGATTCTTGATGGGAGCACCGTGGCATAAGTCCGACTAGCCACACTGCCGTGGGATGCCAGGACGTTGATGACACCAACGGAAAAGGATGACAGGGTCGCTAGACGGTCACGTACTGTCATCGTTAGACGCCATACGGAGGGGCAGCATGTCTGTGATTCAGGCAATTAGTGAGAATTTGTGGGTGATGATGCATGCACCAATGATGACGGCAATGATGGTGATGAGATGACGATGAGATGGGGCTCGCAATGATGAGCATGACAATGACACAGCCATCCAGGCGCAAGCTGAATGCACGACCCATTGTTTACCAAGCTCCTCCAAAAGAGAGGCGGCGCTGGGAGTGCAGGGCTGATGGACTAGCCACTGCTCGTACGTAGGCTTTTCGCCTAAGTATTCAATGCCGGACAGATGCGAGCAGGGACGAGTGTTTGCATTTGGAGTTGCTGCTGCCGAGCCAGCACACCGAGTCCCCCGTGTGCGTGTGCATGGAGTTCGCCGCGGGAATCCAAATCAACACTCTCAAGAGATTTCTGGGCAGGCCGAGCCGCCAGCGCTCTTCTGGTGGGATCGTTGGCGTGCTCCGCGACATTGTGGCCGGGGGGCTGACGGGAGAGGGGCCTTCGCTTTTGGGAGATGTGGGGTTCTAGCCGGCAGGTGTTAGCAAAGATGGGCCGGTTATGGCACTTTGCCGCGACTGAGAGCCAACGAGACAAGCGGTTAGGTGGAGTTGCGGCGAAACGGGGTTTCGTAGCTGCTGGGCGCAACGGCAGAAAGCACACTCACAGATTCGTGGCTTTGCACAAGCAGTGAAATGCCCCACGTTGCAGGAACAGCTCCTGCGCAGCTTCACAGAACGGTTGCTGAAGCGAGACGCTTTTCTATGGGCTGGAGTCTGAGCACGCCATCTGCCGAGGCAACCGTATGAGCTTTCAGGCGGACCAAGTGCTGCTGGTTGTTGAAGTTGACTCAGGTGTTTTATGCTCACCTGCTGGTCCTGTATGCTCCGTGCCAGCAAAGTCAGTGCATCCTTGTCCTTGTCCAGAAAAGCTCGAGCGGCAGGTTGCACATTTTTGCCGCTTGTTGAGGCTATTGCTGCGAGCTGCTATGCCCAAACCGGTGGAGTGTCTTCCAGCTGCTTGGCTTGTTCCAGGGCATGTACATTCAATGGTCCGTTGGATCACACCCGCTTCTGCTGAGACTAACCTGAATCACTGTGAAAGAACAAACATGAAATGCGAATAACTGCAACAAACATCATTGACCGCACCACGATTACGCAGAACCTGTAACTATAAAAGCACTGTCAATGTCCCGGGGGCGGGTGAGAACATGTCAACGCGGTCAATCGGTAAGCGTGGTGGGAGGACAGGAACCAAATGCGCACTGCAGTTGACCTCTGCATGCACCGACATGATTGACAAAGGCACCTTGGATGTCAATTTGCGGGCCAAAGCTGCCAGGCCAGTCGAGGCCCCCTTGGGATCGAACAGGTTCAGTACTGACATCACATCATGCTCGGACCGATCACTGTTTTGCCAGCTGAACTTGCCGTAGATGCCAAGGGCAGGGACACTGCTTGACCCTGCAGGCGAGCAGTGGATGATGCATCCTGCTCATCAATGGCATGACATGACCTAAAGCCTGGCTTCAGGTCTTCCGAATTCGGGCCAGTTTAGCTACGTAGCTGTTCAAAGAATCGTCGTAGTCCGTCTGCCACATGCTTCATGATGTCGAAGTTGGCGCATTGTGTGTGCCTGCTTGTACAAAGACTTGACCTTTGCTGAAAGACATGTGCCGCACCTGTGGAAAAAGGCCCCGTGCCCTTGACAGATTTTGCTGCGAACTGTCGCAGCTATTGAACGCATGAGGACTTGGGGCAACGAGCTGGCCGGCGGCGGCAGCTTCTTACCTGCAGATTGCGCCGCACCACATGCTTGCGGAGAGAAGTGGCCTTTCAATTTAGGTTCCGACCTCCCGACTGGAATCTCTCGGCTTTTCGCGACAAACGATGCCTTCGCAGCAGTCCGGAGCGATGGGACCGCTCTTGCCTTAGTCGGAAGATCAAGATCTGGAAAAACAATTTTTGCCTGTTTGCACCCGTTTAAGCTTTATGCCGTGGACAGTGAGGTCGCGACATGGGGTGATCCAACTTCGGGTGGCAACAGCGACTGTGCTGTGCGTAGGGGGCAGCCTCATTTTGCTGCGTCTGACACATGAAGTTGGAGAACTGCACGTGAGTGACTAAGCATGCCAAAGGCGATGCTGTGCAACACCTTCTGCATGATGTGCAGGCTGGTCTGGCCCTGAAGGGTCTTATCAAGTCAACTGCCGAAACAGCACACCAGCACTCCAAGTGTAGCTGACAATAGTGTTTTGCTGTGTTAATTGATCCGCCTCCCACCGATGACAGGAGATGCGTAGGACCGGCATAGGAAGCGTGCCCTGGCAGGAGATATTTGCCACAAAAGCAGCTTTTGCTGCCCTTCGGTCAGATGGCTCTGCCGACATCTTGGCAGCTGTAGCCATACCTTGGAGCAGTGAACATCTACTCTGCAAGTTGAAGATTCTGGACTGAGGTCATTACTTGGGGCAGCCCGATGTATGGAGGAAACAGCAGCCGTGTAGAACATCAGCTTCAGGGAGGTGCCAATTTGGGTCGTCGACTTGACAATATGTGCCCGTTTCATGGGCCATAGACCCATGTCTTATCCTCATTCATCACTCACTTTCTAAGACCAGCCAGCACCTCAGCCGAACAGCTTTCCAAGTCGTAGCTCGTGTGCAGGTGTTGCACGGGTTTACGCTGCGGAGTGTGCCTTTGCTGCCGTGCGCACAGACGGCTCATTGGTTACGCGCGGTACTCAAGATGCCTTCTCCCAAAGATCACTGCTCACTAGGTCCGCTAGCGAAGTTGCATGTCGGCAGGAAAGCTTGGCAATGAGCGATGCGAGAGCAAAGCAAAACCTTGGATGAAGACGGCAATTAATGTTTGGGTTTTGATTGGGCAATAAGGCAGTAAGGCGAAGGGCATTGTCATGAGAGATCAATCAGGGTCGGTGGCAGATTCTTGGATGTGCTGCTGTGGGATCCTGACCGAAGTCACATGTGACAGATGACCTGGGCAAGCAAGAAGACAGAGAGGCGGGCAAGCCAGCATCACTCCATAACTGCACGAATTATTCGACTTTGGTAGTGTTTCCGGTTGAGCAGGAAGTCCAAAACACATGAGAGCGGGGCCATGGCAACTAGTAACTAGCTGCCTAGCTAGCGGCAGGAGTAGCCGTGCTGCCTCTCTTGGCTTTGCCTTCTCTCGAGAGCACGGCTCCGGAGTGCTGAGGTGGGGGTACCCGCGCTACGGCGGTTGCTGCGAAGCTGTGAGGCACCAGCTGGTGGCTGAAGCCCTGAAAGCTGCATGTGAGTGCCAGACCCCACGCTGAGAGCCAAAACTTGCCTCGAAAGCGCCGAAGCCAGTGAATCTAGCCAAAGCGCTGCATGCTTTCGTGCGAAGACCTGTCTGTGTCGCAGCCACTGGAAGCTCAGACCACGGTCAAGGCAGATGTCGTACGACCACTGACCCTGATGTGCACGTATCGATGCAGCGAGTTCCCTCCATCAAAAGCAGCTCTGAAATATCGATGTCACTTAGACCCAGACTCAGTTCTCATACAGCCCCTGTAATGGAGCATGGCTGATGAGCTGGCCGCACTACAACATGCCTGGGAGCCGTGAGTTGCACTTTCCAGGGAATGGGGGGAGCTGTGGAAGAAACGCAGTTGATGTGCCGCACCGACTTCATTACACGTTGGCACCTGAACCTTGACCTCCTAAATCTCAAGACCCTCGACAAGCTCCGCACAGTTCCAAGGAGACAGAGCAACAGGAGCTCCTGCGTTCCGAGAGAGTGCTGCAGGCACCGTGCTTCCAACATGAGGTCTTCTGGGCGTTAAAGACATCCTGATCTTGAGTGCACGAACATGTTGCTGCGGGTTTTTTGTCTTGCTGACGGTGATGTTCCGGAGGGAGGCTCCTTCGAGCCTTTACCGGCAAGTCGGTATGAGGGATGAACCTTGCAAAGGCGATTTAGCAACATGTTTGCGTCGGCAAGCAGCAAGCAGCTACGATAGCAAAGCCGCGTTTGCAGTTCGTTTTGATAGTGGATCGTGCGCCTCTCCTGGCATCCATGACTACTGCCATATCCACTCAGTATGCAACCCGGGAGCAGATGCGCACAGCACCTCAGACAGGCACTTCGACAGGCACAGGCATCCCTGCAGCAACGACTCGAGACTGAGATTGCAAGTTTGAGGATCTGCAGTAGAGGGCTCGTATCCGGAAGCTGAAATCAGCCTCGGCAGCGATTCTCAGATCAATCAAGAAGGACTACCGGCATTCATTGTAAGGCGTGGCTTGATGACAGTAGGACAACAGTGAGTGAACACTTGCCCAATGTTTGCCGAGGATGACTTGCTGGATGAGTGCCATCATCTTCGCGAGGAGGTGGGTGTCTCGTAGTTTTCAAGCCCCACATAGGCAGCGAAGTGTCGCTCGGCGGGTTGACCACAGTCTGCGTTCGTGGCACCTCTGGACTCGGGGATTCATCTAGCAGGTCGTTGAGAACAATCCTGTGGCAGCGGCATGTGTCGCAGTGGAGCAGGAGATTGAGGCCGCGAGTGTTTGACGGACCTACAATACAGTAGCCCGGGCAGCTTCGTTGTGTAGCAAATACAAGACTCATCACAGAAGCCTTGAATCATCGGATGAGGCACTTTTTGAGGACCTCGAAGCTCTGGGTCCTCGGAAAGCCTCTTTGGTGCGGGAGCTGCTCGGCATCGATAGCTTCAACCCGTTGATCTGCCGAGTCGAGTGATGAATGGGTTCGAGCTGGGCACAAAGTCATGCCCATCGCAAGTACCTAGTCAGGCAATTACATTGGTAACGACGAACCCCGAAGCTTTCGCTTTATCAAACTCACCAGTCAATGTGGTCAACTCAATCAATAGCTGTGGCTTTGGCTGTAGCCTTGGGCGAAATTTTGGGCGTGCGCAACAAAGCGTTCAAGGTGGTGTCTTGTGGTCACACGAATGATTCAGATTTTGATGGTGCTGCCCTGTCTTGTGTTACAAACCAGCATGTGGTCACACCCATGTAGACGCGCGAACCTGAAGGCAGCGGATGCACCTCCAGGTGCTCGGGAACATCTCCTTTTAGCCTGCGCAAGCTATACTACCTCCCAGACCCTGATACAACTGTTCGTGGCTGTGATGCATCAGTCGAGACTGTGCTGAGATCAAGTGAAGCTTATGTGTGTCCGAGCCTCGAGGTGGGAATCGCTGTCCGGAGGTTAGCCGCTTAGCCCTTTAGTGTCAAGTTTGTTCCCTGTAGCTTGCTTGCCACCCTTGGATGACGAAGAAGGTCGTAATCATACAGCTATTCGGCGCTTTCCAGCTTGTTGCTGCTGCTGACGACATGAAAACCCTAAACCTTGCGAAAGCAGCACAACTCACCAATTCAAGCTTAAGCAGAATTGGGAAGCCGGGCCTCGAGCAATTTTTTCTGGGGGGTCAGCCCAACGCGTCTCAAACGAAATGGCAGCTGGAGCTGCAAGTACGATCGTTTCCAACTCAACTTCAGAAGCTCGAAAAGCCGGGTCTTTGGGGTGTTTCCCGTGCAAGGAACCCCTAGGGCCTAGCCGTGCTCAAACTTGCCACAGCCTGCTGGGCTGCAGCGGAGACCGTTGCAACCTCAACTCGAGTGTCCCCAGTGGGAGTCTGCAAACGACGGAGCCCCTGGACCCCTCCTGCATGGTATCCCCGAAGCGCTGCACCAAGTGCATCCCGGAGGCGCGAGAGGCCTGTCGTGCCCTGGAGATCGACCGAAACCGCGCCTGCCAGAACCTCCGGGAGGTCAGCCCGAGAAAGAACGTGTTTGCTCCAACATTTATTCGTGCATGCTGGCCCCTTTCTTTCACAGGCGGTCGTAAGTTCAAGTCAGGCATACTGTAGCAGTCATTGCTATGATGTATGCGACTACCGTTCATGGGACAATGACCGTTGCCGACATGTACTGAAAGACGTTAATTAGGGCAGACATCTCACATTTGGCAGCATTTCTTTGCCCCGCCTTTCCTCACAATTCCCATGCAGCGGAGGCGCAGAAGCCCTTGCAAGAGCAGCGTGCCGCGGTGGAGGGCCGCATCCAGGCTGCGGAGATCCAGGCACGATCCTTGGTGTCCGCAGAGGTGCAGGCGCGGGCTGAGGAACAAAGAGTGGAGGCCCAGGAGCAGCTACAGCGAGCAAAGGAGGAGGTCGCTGAAATGCGGCTGAAGTTGGCAGACTCCTGGGTGACGGACACGGACAGGGTAGCTGACTCTGAGGATATGCAAGCCCTGGAAGAGGTGGAGAAATCCTTGCAGTGGCTTGCGAACACCCAACATGCTGCATCCGCACAGACACAGCTGGTTGAGCGACTGGAGCGCAAGAAGGGTAGTCTTCAACAGCGCTTGCGAGAGGTCTCGGAAGAAAAGGCAGCATTGCAGTCGACTCGGGTGGATTTGGGAGATGCTGGCAAGGCGATGCGTGAAACCATGGCCTCACAAAGTGAGGGCTATGTAAAGCAGCTGGTGGGTTTGGAGGAGGCCAGACGTGCGGCTGATTCGGACAGGATCAAGCTGATGCAGGACTTTACCAAAGGGTGGAATATTATGGAATAGCGGGATTGATTTTCTCAAGCCAAGCTTGCCGCCCTCGTGCCAAGTCAGTTCAAAGAAAGTAGTAGGTTCGTAGCATGAAGGATCCTTTGACCCGGCATGCCTCGTGTCTTGACTTGTCCATCCTCTGTGCTAGACTAAAACCTGGCCACCACTGCAGGTGCTCAGCACTTTGTGCTTCCCTGGCATGCTTTGCAGGGATGAAAAACCCAGCTTGGCACTGCTACATGGAACCTGGACTCACTGCGCCTGTTGAATGCTTGCCACGACTTTACCCCAGATGCTACTGTACACCGTGAGTTTGTCAAAACACGACAGAGCATGGTAATTGGAGCGTGGTTTTTGTCCGCGGGTTCACGTGTGCTTCCATGCTTTCCGTGGATCCTGGGAGTGTGTTTCGGGACTTGTCCACTCCCTGACTGGCATTGCCTTCGCCCTCATTCTAGGCTCACGATTTCAGCGTCCGAAGCAGCTGAAGACAACTTGGCATTTCATGCCAGTGGGCAAAGCCTGATCTGAACCGTTCGTCGCTTCTTCCTCCCAAAACCGTAAGTATGAGTTGAAACTCGTGGTCAAAATTGCATGTGAAGGCGAAGGAAATCGGTGCAGTATAGGATCTTGGGTGGTCAGTCGATATTTCTGTGTGTGGGGAAGAAGTGTAAGTTCTGCGGAGGAGTCCGCATCGAGTCGCGGTTGCTCGTCCACTCGCCCCGACACCCCTGCCCAATAGGTGTGCTGGGGTTTGGATTGTGTTGTGGTTGATGTATGCTGTGCTCAGGGTCGCAGCTGTTGACGTGACGGCAGGACTGTGCCGACATGCAGGACAAGCTGGATGACCTGACCACCCGCGAAGCCCGCCAGGCGTCGATCAAGGGCCGGCACACTCAATTGCAGGCCGGGGCGTCGGGAATTGGCCGTGCTGCAATTGTCCGTGAATCAAGCAGACACAGAAGATTCATGGCGCCCCCAAAAGAACTTTGCTAGTGCCACTGAGTCGTGTGTGTCGATGTGAGAACCCGCCCTCAAGATCACGATGAGCTTCCTGACGAAAAACAGGTTGCTTGCCGCTGCGTGGCTGATGAAAGCCACCGGCTCCGAGACTCTTGGCTCCTGGTTTGCTGCAGGGGGGGTGGGACTTGGGACTGTAGGTGCGGACATCACGCATGTGCGAAGTTGTCTACGTCAGCTCTATTTTTGAGTTTCGGTCAAGGACATGAATGCGGCGTTGGGCGAGATGCTTCTGAGCGATGAGACGCCGACAGACTTCACGCATGACGACAGCGATGCCGACGCGGTAAGCGTCCTGAGAAAGAGAGAGAGAGAGAGAGAGAGAGAGAGAGAGAGAGAGAGAGAGAGATAAATTAATCAAAAAGCTGATTCATGTTTGGCTTTGCTATCCGTATGTTGATGGGATGCCCCCTTCGCAACACTGTTGAGATAGTGTGGATGACCCGAGTGACGCTTGCACGAGGTTGCCGAGTTTGTTATGGTTTAGGGGTGTGCTGTTTCGGGGGTTTTAAAATGTGCGCTCGGGAACCCCTCTTTCCTCCCCAAATAGAGGCCGAGCTGGAAAGGTGGGCCTTCGGGCCAAGGTCCCGGGGCCCTGCAGGTCTTAAGGCAGTGTGCTGGTGCTCGGGTTCAGAGGGCTATTCTGGGCCATCACCCACCATGTGTCAAGTTCCATCAGAGGCCACCAGCCTGCCAGTTTTGACAGTGCAGGTGATGCGCCTGCTGCTGTTGCAAAAGAAGCTCGTGGATCGTCAGGAGCTGCATTCAAACAGATCCCCCGCTTTTGGCTTGCAGAGAGTCTTTCCAAGAGTCAGGAGTCCTACGCGGCAGAAAGGGAGCAGCTGGGAGACAAGGCCCTTCCGTGCATCAGCCTCTCTTTGGGTCTTCTTCGTCCGCTTCATTGCAAGCATGCGCCTAGACTGGCTAGGTAACATTAAGTCTGGTGGGCAATTACTCTACACTTCTTTGCAGAGAGTGGGGTCATTTTGAAACAGGATTCCGGCGTTTCGCTCACCAGCTCTTCATCGTGTTCTTCATCATTCCATCATGTGGCGAGCCAAGTTTAGGATTGTTGTCCGGCTCTCTGGCCCCTTCCCCAAACCATAAGAGCCATGATGCATCCGCAATAGTCATTCATCAATCAAATGGTGGGAACATCATAGAGGCGCCTCACGATGCCTGCAGACCCAACGTTTTTCACAGTAGCAGCAAGCAGGGGAAAGCACGCGCTTTCCTTCATGTTTTGCAGGTGCGCGACCTCGAGCGGAAGGGAGTTGCTTGGCGAAGGAACTAGAAAACCGATCACTAGTGAGGTGGATGTTGACACTTCTTTGCATAGCTGGAGCTGTGAAACACCAGTCAGTCTCGCAGCCAAGATGTTTCACCAAGTCACAAGTCCGCGTAGTGCGCACAAGGCCTTTCTGCTCGGACATATTGAGGACCTGCAACAGAAATCTGACAGACCTTGGGTGTTAGGCTGTGTACTTGTTGGCCTCTCCTGACTTGCACGAGTTTCGAATTATGTGGCAAAACAGGGTCGTCTTCAGTTTCAGTGTTCTCATTGTCGCTCGCGACTTGCACGTTGCACTGTACTAACTGTGTCTAATAGATAGCTGGGTATGTAGGTAGATGGAACTTGCGTGCGTGTCAGCGCAGGCAGTGCAGAAAGGGTCGAAGATGTCGTAGCCCCGCAGTGTCTGGCTAAACCTTTGGTTGTGCGCGGGCCGGTGTTTCTCGTGGAGGCCCCTCAAAACGTACAGGTCTCGGTTGGAGAGACTGTCGTGGTCGATGTACGCTCATTCCGTGTACATGGTTTGGCGTCACCCCATTAACGTAGCGGTAGGCGATGCTTGCCCATCCACTCATCGTTCACTTGCGAAGCCACACAGCTGCCGACCTTTCTATCCAACCGTTGCATCGACGTTACCGTTACAGAAGCTGCCGGGTAGCGAAAGCATGCAGCAGACCTTGCACATCTTGCACACACACACACACAAGCAGCACACACATGTGTGACACATGCGATGTTCATGCGACACACGTTTGATCCGGGATAGGCTGGCAGGGTCTTGTCAGTTTCCAGTACAGTTTCCAACTGCTTGACTCGCTGCCTCGCTGCTCCAGGTCTCGCCGCAATTCTTTGACCCTGCACCTGCAATGCCGACGCCAACATCGACACAGGCCTGATGGAGGTCAGTGCTGTGTATCTTTCCGCACATTGAACTGGAGTGAAACACCATCTGGCATTTGCAGTAGTTGATGGGAAGACTGCTCTTGCGGTGCATGTCCCAAGCAGGAGTATGGAGGAGTTTACTGCTTCTGAACCTGTATGTTGTGCGGATGGAGGTTCAGGCTGATGATGTCAAGAGTGACTTTTTTTTGATGGTCATAGCCACACCGGGTACGATCGTGAGGATTCCGAAAACTTGAAGACAAAAATGCGCATACATCGACGTGTAGACACACGTATGTTTCAAGGAAGGTGTACTAGTACAGTGTACATATACATCCGCTGCGTAGCGCGCATGCATACAAAGGGAGACTCTGGGCGTTTCCGGGCCCTGCAGGCCGCCTCCAGCTCACTGGTCAGCTCAGTGCGGGAGCGCTTCTCGCAATTCCGCGACGTCGCCTTGAAACGAAGATGCAGCGATGGGGGGCCCTGCATGATATCCGGTTTCGGGAGGTTGAACTGAGGCCGTGGGACTGCAGGCTTCGGTTCTATCGCATGATGATTTGCACTAGGGCTGGCAGTGCGTCGCTAAACATGCGCCCGTTGCTGTGCTTGCTTTGTGCGGGTGTGAGTGCCGAGACATGCAGTACCACGCCCAGGCGGCAGCTACTTGTCTCGCACATTGCTTGCGAAGCCAAGGAAGCGGGCGTAAACTTGCCCCGCTTTCCAAGCTGCGGCACGGGAGTTGGCGTGCGACGGCAAAAAGTGTTGGCAGCGACCCTACAGTATCTGCTGCCTCGGCTTGCGCTGCTGCTCCTCCGGAGTTCTAAATCCTGCGGTAATGTGCTATTGAACCGAATGAGCAGGCTCAAGCCCCAAGGGCAAGCCGACAGATGCTGTGAGCAAGGTTTGTAGGTGTTTATAGTTGACATGCCAGCCTGCAAGTGAACAATTAAAGCAGTCACCGTCGCTTGTGCGAGAGTTCAGAACACTTCGCCGCTGCACCTCAAGCTCCCCACCCACCCCATCGGCATGCATCAGCCAGGTGCAGGAAATGAGAGACTGACCTTTCTCCTGTGGTGCTCTGCGTCATTGCCATGGACCCCGGTCTGGTACATGCTGACCCACAAGGCCCCGAACCGCACTTGTCTTCATAAGCTCTTCCGAGTTCCGAGTGACAGAGGGATGACAAAAACGTTGCAGGTGACGTCCGTGAGGATGGCCCGAAGGAAGAGAAGTGCCCCATGCACTTGGCTCTTGCCTCGATCAAGAACCGGTGTCCAAGGCGACGAGTAGACGAATCTGTGTGTCAATGTCCTGGTTGAGGCCTTTCCAGACTTTGTTCGCTGCGACTCCTGCAAGGACTTAGCAATATGTGTGTGATTGTCCATGTGTGTGTGTGTACGAAATGTTGCAGCGACACTCTCCGGCTACTTCGGCATGGAAGGAGATTTACAAGGATCTGCCGAGTGATGGCAAGGCACCACTGCCTGGACTGAAGCAGCCTTTTCCAGTCGCTCGGATGCAAGGAAGATCAACGAAGCTTCTCGAGCTTCATGCTGTTCGATCGATCCATCGAGGTCACTGCGCTGCAAAGCAACACCCGGCTTGATGTCTTGGTCACTTCCTCAGCATTCCTGAGCCTTCTCGAGACTCCGGAAGTGCGGGGATCATGGGACCCGTCCGGTGAGGAGCACCAGTCCCCTGACGGCATGCTGGAGAAGTATCAATGCATAGAGGCAAGAGTGCAAACGCAAAGAGAGAAGCCAAGCAAGCGCTTCATGAGAGAGCTTGGAGTGCTCCAGGACGAGCATGGGAAGTACAAGTTCGCCAGAAGCCGCCAGCAGGAGCATCCGTCGGTGGCGGTCGTCATGGAACCCGCAAAGATGAAAGATGTTTTGGCGGCGGCACATGATGCATAGGCAGTCGCATGGATTATGCACAGAAGGTTCGCAGCCTGGCACGCTTTGAAGTTGTTGGATGCACGAGGACGCACTGGAACTCGAAAGGCACGATTTGATGTTGCAGTGTGACTACATGTCCTTCCGCTGCCAATGACTCGGGTGCACTGCTGGTCACTTCTTTGTGGGCTGGACTGGGATCGCCAGAAGGCGTAAACTCCAGCTCCAGCGCGAGCGCACCAACAAAGCCAGACACGAGGCCGATCATGCCGGCATCTCAGACAAGACAAGGTGTCCTTACTCAGCCGATGGGGGGGGGGGGGGGGAGGACGGGAGTGAAATTGCCACTGCCGCCATGAGGCTGCCCAAGATGTTCAGTGGCAGGCCAGGAATCGTTGATTCAGTCCATGTAACTTTGCATTGGCATTCGCTGTGGTCTAGATTGCTTGGCATGACAGCATGCCGTGCAAATTGCAGCCGGGCAGATCGCGGATGCAGAGCGCTCCGTGGAGGAGATGCGATGCCGTCGAGACGGTGACATGCAGGTCGCGAGCCACGTCCTTCAAAGCAGCTTTGTGTGAATGTGTGCGAGAGGCTTTGGAGGTGCAAGCGCTCCTCTCAGCTATGCGGTTGGAAAGCTGAAAGCCCAATCTACGGGACCCTTATAGTAAGGGTGTTTGCGATGAATCGCACCGGCATACTTGTTTGGCCAAGATTGGCCAAGGACTTTGGCAATTTGGGGGGCGCATTCCCCGTCATGTGTTTGTTTAAAGTTTACCGTTTACACAGTTCGTGTGTGCAAAGGTACGGCAGGCCGACATCATGTTGGAAGAGGCACAAAGGGAAGCAGGAAAGCCGGGGGCCGAGTTGAGCTCGAAGCACGCGCATTTTGCATGTCACGTGCAGTGCATGTTGCCTTTGCCCAGGCGATTGGAAGAAGCCCTGGGGCTCAAGCGTGCAGAAGAGGCCACGACCTTTTTTCAAGCTTCGTTTGTTAGCAATCGGTTCGTGGGGCATGCGAGCGGAAGCACCGACACGGGCCCGAATGCCGCTGCTGTTACGCGCTATGGTTACGACATGACGTTCTGCATCACGCCGTCGATGGCATACAATGATATGGCACACCGTTTGCAGCAGTTCGCAGCAGGCGCATGTGGTTTCGTCCTCCCAACTGCTGAATGCAGCCAGTCGTTGCCTCAGTTGCAGCGTTGAGCACTTGTGAGCTCAAAGATCATAATAGCGGAACTACGGCCGCTTGTCCTACTTGTCCTGTCGCGCACGAGCTGAATGCAATCCTTGAGGGGAAAGGACCCGTGCGGCTGAAGAGATGTACGAGCAGTCGAAGGCCGTTCTCACGGCCTGCACTCCGGAAGTGTGAACAAAATTGCGAAGGTTCGTCGACGTGCAGACTGCGACAATCCTTGGGTTTAAAAAACCGCTCCCTGTCCAGGTAGCCTCGCAAGCACGGCTTGCAGCCCGAGCTGCCGCCCTCGCTGAGGCCGAGGAAGCGTTGGTTGCTCAGGCACCACCGCAGACGGCTGTCACTTCTTGCCACTTTCGTATCGGTGAGTCCCTTAGCTTTTTGCGGTTTTCGTTCCAAACAGGAAATGGTGTGCTATGTTTGTACGTTGGCATCAGTCCTTTGGTCTCAATTTTGATTAGTTGGTCCCGAGAAGATGTAGCCGGGACACCAGGTGCACAGAATCAAGAATTGATGATGTGTGAACTTTCTTCTCGAAGTTGACAAGTGAGTCATGCTGTTCAACGACAGACTTGCTTGCATCACAGTTCTGATTCCAACTATTTGGATGGATCGGTCGGGAAGACCGCATGTTTCCCTGCTGTCGCTTTGCAATTGGCCTCTTTGTTCTATGCGTCAGTACAAATGCCCGCCGTTGACAAATTTGTTTGCCAGCCAGGAAGATGAGATGAAACAGAAAGCGGCCGAACACTTGCAGAATGTGCAGGCATGTGGGCGGGTCTTTGACCAGGTGCCAATACACGGTTCGATGAACCTGGTCAAGTTACTATCCAGCAATACTGAGCGCAGCGTTATGCTCAGTACCGATCTTGCATGTTGTGCTGACAGTTCTGGCAGTACAACGGCCTATGACTCCTCAGACCATGTTGGCCGTGCACGTTGACAGGAGCAGTGCCGAGCGCAGCTGGAAGCTGTGCACGAGCAATCTTCTGAAATCAAAGAGGCTTGCCGGCTAGATGTTTCAACTGCGGTGCACTCGTTCAGTCGTGTGTGGGCGTGGGTGTTTCCTTGTAAGTGTGTGTGTGTGTGTTTGTGCGTTTGCGTTTGTTGCGTTTGCGTTTGTTTTGCTCTTCTCTTCACCTATTGCCCAGACCCCTTTCGTAGATGATAAGCCTGATAAGCGTCGCTGCAAGTGATGTGCATGCGACTGCAAGGGTTCGCAGCCAAATTCTGAGAGGCCGTGTGACAGTGACACCAGCCGCATTTTCTCGGGATGGAAGATGTATGCTTGGCATGGAAACAACTCCCCCATCAGGACCCCGAGTTGTCAGGCGACAGTGCGAACGGGTGGGATGCGGAAGCGATGTCGCCGGGAAAGGTCGTGCGTAAGGTTGGCAGACGAGCTGCGCAGTGACCGTTGAAATGGTGTTGATGACGTGTGACCTCGGCCCGAGCAGCGCAGTCACTATTCTGTAAACGGGTTGCAGAGCCAGGAATAAGACTGGTTCTTGGTTCCGAGCTGGAGACTTTGGTAAACCCAACCTCAACAAACCATTGAGGGCAGGTTTGGAAGCTTCGATGTGTGTCATTTCCGCGCTACTTTGATGCGGAGCCACGGGCTTTCTTGGAGCATCGTGAGGGATTCATTGAAACATGCCCTGTACTGTACAGACTGTACAGTTGGAACGCCTTAACAGCAACGTTCCCTTTCGCTTCGTTCTGGCAGTAGGTTCTAGATTCTAGAAGGGGATACACGCTGCAGAACGCTTTTGCGGAAGTGGTTCCAAGAGCGCTGTCGGAACGCCTTTGTTTGCATGCGGAAGGGACTTTGGCGGATATTCATTATACGTCACCTTCAGCTTTTAAAAGATGGCCAGCTCCGCGTTTTGTTTTTGCATGCTACTTCGTCAACGTTGGCCGCTGCCACTGCGACTGTTAAGCCAATGTTTGCAACAGAAAGTTGAAAAGGTGATGGCCACCGTTGCAGCGATTTCCATCGCACGAGCTCGTTCGCTAGCTTGGGGACTACGACTACTGCATGCATATTTTGATTGGAGTCGTCGACCTATATTTCCAGCACTCGCCGACTAAACCTAAGAGATGCAGAAACCAAAAGTGCATGGTTGGGGATGTGTACAAGCGACTCGCTGCATTTTTGTTCGCATCACGCTTGGAACCTCAATTGATGTTGCCGTGTGGAGCAAGCGAGCTGGCATGCCACAGGCTGTTTCGAAGCGCTTGCCGATGGAGTCAAGAAGAACGGCAGCTGCCCAGGACACGACAAACGGCGACGTTTTGCCATTCATGTTTTTGACGGTGATGCCTGCGCTTTTTGTTACTAGGTGGGTAACTGCGTGCGAGTACACTGACAGCTGGGAGGAAGCAACAGAAACGCGAAGAAACGATGCCCATGAACGATTACAGAAAGAGCGCTTGGAGCCTAGAGATGTGATGGACTGGTGTAGCAGGCTCAGGAGAATCGAAGACCTTCCAAGGTACAGTGATGTTGTTGGAGTGAACACCGACAATGTGGTACTGCACATGCCATTAACCCGGGCAGGCTCTGTCAATATGCAATGTGTTTAGCTCGAAGCCGTGCTATTGTCATGTGACCAACCGCTCGTTGTGATTCACATCAAATCCGAGGTCAAACGGCCGGCGTCCACACCACGGTAATGCCCATTTCTCATTCTGCTTGCTGGTTGTGAGGTTTGCTGATTGCCTGCTAGCGGCTAGCGGCAGACAGCACCCAATCGCCCAATGGAGTCTTCTTAGGCTAGCCTGCACGAGCAACGGTTGTTTGATGCAAGCTTCGGAGTCTGCTGCATGGGATCCGTTGTCGCTGTTTCAGACCCCGCTTTGCATAAGTTGCAGAACCCACGCCTGTGAAGTAGTGCTTCAGCAAACCAATCCATTGGCAAATGCAAGGGAGGAAGACTGCTCCTGCATGGTCCGCCGGGTGGAGCTGCGAGAGCAAGCTACACAGAGGCGCCTCCAGTTGAGTGCAGTGCAGTGTCTGTTCGAACCCGATATTCCTCAGCGCTTCGCTGCCCAAGAGGCGCTTGGAGGAGTTTGCTGAGGGCCCCGTCACTGCATTGGAGCGCACTGCGCAGCTTTGGCCGGTGCCCGAGGATTGATAGCTCTCTATGGAGAGTGAAACTGCATTCATGCAACTTCCGGTCAGGGTGTAAGTAAAACCGAGCTGCTGCACACGAATTCCAGGAGGCAGCAAAGGCTTTGACACCAGGCCAACATCCCAACCTGGAAGCACAACACTGGCAGCAGTCACGATACTCGTACATTTGTTCTAAGGGCTTCGGGCAGGACCTTGTTGGCTTTAGGTAGTTCTTGACTCAACCAGCTGGGCCACTCTTGATTCCTGTGCGGCCCACAGAATGCCAAGGCATGGACAAAGCGACCGGAAGTCGGTGTGTGACAAGGCTCGAGTTGCACCTCAGTGGAGCTTTGCAGGGACCTTTCAGAGAGGTTGCCTTTGCGAGTGGCTTGCGCAGGTCAGCTTGGAACAAACAGCTTGGGTGCTGGGACACCACTTCAAGTCAAGGTCAAAAGCTCAAGTTCATCGCTTCTTGAAGGGTGTCCTGACCCAGGGCAAACGGTTTAGCCAAAGAGTTTCGCTTCGGTTGGGGATTTGGCGTTCCTTGTCATTTGCCATGTTTGCTAAGCTTCTTCAGGCTTTGGGGCTGTCCTTGCTTACGCTTCGCATGCGAAGGACCAGGCTTGCGGTGGTCGTGGGAGATGCATAGAAGACTCCAGGCGACGTAGCTGAATGCCTTTGAGACACGTGTGAAAGGAAAGCTGGCTTTGGGCTGGGTCAAGTTCCAGTTCCAGTTAATTGCCCTTGATCATTGCCTAATTGCCCTAGATCATTGCGGGGTACAGAGGGAACGATTCTGTTTCCTTTCCGATCAAGAGTATGTATATAATGGATTTGCCAAGGTGGAACTACACGCCATCCGTGGACGACAAAGTCACCAACATCCTTCAGGGCTGCTTGCACGGCAGGCCGGAGCCCGTGCCAACACAACAGCGGCAACACCAGTTGCGGAGAGTGTAGTTGGCACCTTTTGTGCACATGCAACTTGATTCGGCCCTCTCGTTCGGATCCCGCAGTCTCTCCGAGCTCCGGGCTTCATTTATGTTCGTTTGGTTTAACGCGCGAGGGTGTTCAGTGCCACAGAACAACTCCAGGCAGCCATGCATGCTTCGCATCTACTTGTTTCTGGACTTGTTTGGAAGGTGGTTTGACATCATTACGGTCTCATAAATCTCAACAGGAACGAACAAGATCAGAAGAAAATGCCGGCCGTTTTGGCTATGCTTCACGTTCGTGATCCATGGGATTTCAAGTTTGGGCCTTTTTCGGTCGGGGAGGCTTGGCAAGTGAATCTGAGCTGTGTGGGACAAGGCATGTTAGCTTCTTGGGAGCAGACGATGCGAGGTAGCAGCGCCATCACTATCAACAGTAAGCAGAAACAGCAAACACAATAAGTTGCTGGGCAAGGAATGATTCATAGTGGTGACTTGGGATGTTTCCGTTGCGGAGCAATCCTGCGAAAATCAGAGAGACTCCTTTTTGGCAGCTGGGTGTGTAATGTAAATTGTGAGCTTGTCTGGGCCCAAGGGGCGAGAAACCGCGGGGTTGCTGTCGCAGTTGACAAGCAGACGTATTTGAAAGCAATGCGAAGGCTGTAGCAAGCACGCAGCTTTGCAAGCCCAGGGACCCTAAGTCCATTCTTCCGCACCCATCTCCACGGTCGCCGGAGTCTCGCAGTGTTGCGCATGTTGCCACGTCACCCCGTGTGGGCAACTGAGAGGCGTCACAGCTGACGTCACGGAAATTTCAGTGTGGCAGTGTCACAAGAACAAGAGCCCTGAGACACATCTTCATCGTCTTCTTAGACCGTCGGATTTGCCGAGGTTGGAACCACCGGTGGATTTGCCACCACCACCGACGAAGCTGCCGATGCTGTCCACTGGCCTTGCAGGCCTGGAGGTCTACAGCTTGTCATGTTCGCTCGGACTTGAGATAGATTTGGATTCAGCCTTTTCAGTCGGCAGGTCACCATGGCGGCTGAACGCGAAGCGCATTGCAGATCTCTCCATCGTGGGTAGAGTAGGAGTCGTGGGCTTGTACTTTACACGAACATCAAATTGTGTACCGGGCTTGTCGTGGACATCAGGTAGTCAAGCATGCCACATGTCAGCAAGAGAAGCACCATGCATCGCTGCAGCAGTGACTGTTTAGAGCCAGCCGTCCCTGGCATCTTAGAGGCCAGTTCGTTGGACTGAAATGCAGTCTTTATACTTGGCATGTTTCACAAAGAGAAAAGACAAAACACGAAGGCACGGGAAGGCCTGCAGATGCTTGCAGATCCATGATTCTGATTACGCATGAAGTTTCGACTTCTATTCTAGTCGGGATGACGGAAAGCGATGCCAAGCTTTTCCTTCGTGTTGCCGTGTGATCCCCTCCTGGCGCTGTGCATCATGCAGGCCGACATCCATCTCAAGGAAAGGTCAAGACCAAGCAAACTGCGCTAGGCAAACTGCGCCAGCAGAACACTAATTGAAGCTTTGCTGTCAGCCCTGGAGCAGTCTGGTCCAGCAGGGACGACCTCCAAGCCACGACTGCAAGCCAAGCTTGTGTTTGTTTATATCCGAACCGTTGCCGCACTACCCAGCATGACACAAGCAGACGAATGCAAGACAGGCAGGGAATTGACAAGCTCCGCAGGGGCCACTGCAGCGTGCCGAGATCATACCAATTCTTTGAAACACGGTGCTAGGGATCGATAGGAGCGTAGTGTTGTCCATGGCGTTCGTGCAGCCTTGTCGCTCCGACGCCAGCTTGCCGCGGTGCGCTTGTTGGTCCTTTGCGATCGAAATTAGTGTCTTGCATTGATGTATCGAAGCTTGCATTGGCTGTATACATGTACCAACAATATATATGATAGTCATACAGCGACGCTGCTCCTGCAGCTTGCATCAGGCGAGGAGCCCCGGAGCCGTTTCCGTACGTTTGCCCTGTCTTGCTTCCCTCTCTCTCCATGGTTCTTCTTCCGACAGTAAATGTGTGTGATGTCGGATGTCGCATGTGCGCAGTGTATGGACGACGGCCAGATATATGGGGTGCACACACCTGATCCTTCTTGATGGCAGTGCGTTGGAGTAGCAGGAGCTGTGTTTGGCATCGTGTCTCTGTTCTAGCTGCAATGGTCTCAGGAACCGTCACACTCATCACACCAATAAAAGCACCCATTTGGTCCTCCAAGCTTTGGACATGTGGCAGAGAGTTTCAGAACACATCCAACGATTCGGAACTGGTCTCGGCTGTTTGAGGTATTTTGATTTTTTCTGAAATTGATTACCGAGATTGCTCTGACGGTTCTCCACGGTTGCTTGATGGTTCCAAACCCTTATGAGAATTGGTTAATAGACGAACGCGCCACCAAGAATTTTAAGCAGCACCTGGCAATGGCAGTTTTGGCTGAACACCTGGCAGGTATTGGAGACATGAGTCCTCAACTGTGGCAGGCACCATGGGGATGCTTGGTGGCCAACGGACATCTGTACGGCTATCAGCGGTCAGGATTTTGATCATTAGTTCGATCCTGATGGTGATGACGATGATGATCATCATCATCATAATCATCGTGGTTATGGCAAATTCAGGCTGTTGGGCGATAAGAGTGTTCCTGTAAAGTGTGCACTGTTGTGAAGCACCTGAGCGATAAACCTGATTAGGGGCAGACATTGTAGATGAAGATGTCGTTGCCGGATATCAATGTGACTAGTTGGCAAATCGACTACACAGACGCTGCGCTGGAGGGCCGGGACTCGGAGTGCACTTTATCTCATTTTGCAATTTGACGGCTGGGTTCCTTTGCAGGATTCCACGGTCACAGGAGCCCTGGCGCCGAGCGTGGCGCTCAGAAGAGAAGATGGATGGTCGAAGAGTGTTCAAAGTAGGTTTGCTTGGTTTCGTTGTGCAATTCCTGAAGCTACTTGAACGCAGAGCGCAGCTCATGCTAACCTCCGGCTGCAAGCCAATGTCAGTGACGACAGACCTCCCCATGCCTGACCTGGCACAAGTTAGTTAGTGAGTCATCAATGCCGTTTGGCTCCACGATGCGATTTCCAGGAAGGCCTCTTGGCGAGCGAACTTGGCTGGAGTCGCAGTCACGGCGGCGAAATTGATGGAGTCCAGTTGAGCAGAGTTTCACAGAAATTCAAAGCTTGCCAGGTCGGTGCCGCTGCACTACACTCCCAATCCCGCCCGGCTTCTAGAGGCCCATTGGCAGACTCCGCGCAGGGGGTTTGTGGCATTATGTCAAGGCAATGTCAAGTGCACCTGTGTCTGCCATATTATACAGGAAAAGATCTTGTTGTTTCGGGACTGCACTTCAGGTGCACGCAATCCGTTCGGTGCCCGGCGCGATTGCGTTGTCACAGCACAGGTCTGGATGAGACTTGTGGGATCGCTCGAATGTTGGTGTTTGAGATTGTTTGGGCGACGACTGTCTCCAGGATCTCCAGGATTCCCGAAGCATCCGAGGCTGCGCAAGCTTCGGGTGCAGCTGCGAGCGAAGCTGGATAGCCGGCAAGCGTCCAACACGACGATGGAGGATTCTGTGGACTCAGCCCATGAGCAATGAACCGGGTACTCGTTTGCAGCCAGGTGCGGCACTCATGTAACCAGCTAGATAGATTGATGCAGCGATCGCAACTTGAATCAGTGTGCAGAACATGACTTCTAGATGCATCGTGGTTTATGATAATCATGTCGGCCACATCACAAGCTGTTACGGCCATGTTCAGCCGCTGACTTCAGGACTCTAGCAGCACTTAAGATTAAAGATTCATTATATGCCAGCTGCAGGACGTGAGGCAACTTGGACAGATTTGATGATTCGGCTTTGTGATGTGTTGCGTTGGAATCGACAACCGAATGCCACCGCGGCAAACTGTGGGTAGGTAGCCTCTGACAAGCAGAGTTCAGCTGCTACAATGCCACCAATCAATTTGCAGCTTGTCATTCGTCAGCCTTCGAGCCGCACAATGCCATACCCTGGTTCAGTAACGGTGGCATCGTAGCACTTCCTGATGATGAAATCTACAGCGGCAGCTGGTGACCAGTGTACCAGCATGCGCAAATCCCCGTTACCCTTCCCTACGCTTTAGAATACTTGTGGATGACAAGCCCAAGAAAGGAAACAACAATAATCATTTGAGCGGTAAGAGTCCTTCTCGCTAGGGATCTTTTGAGGAACCTGACCGCTTCGCCGCTGCCGAGGCCGACCAGCTCAGAAGCCGGCATCGAGGTGCAGGGGAAGGTTGCAGGAATTAGGGATTAATGGTTGGGGCTCCGGAGTGGTGCAAAATGTTTTGCAAATATGCGGCTGCATGAGGCCTTTGGGGGCTCAGGGGCTTTGAGCGAATCCAAAGAATGCAGCAGAATCCAGATGCTTGAGGAGCTGTTGAGAGGAGGCCAAGCAGAAGAGGCCTGTGCACTGGTGGAGGACCCTTCGCGATTGTCCGATTCATTGCCATGTCGTTTGGCGGAAGGGCTTTCTAACTGCATTGTCTGCCGCATCACTTTCCCTTTCCAGGAGATGGCATTGAATATGGCGGCAGCACTCAGTTGACTGCTTTCTCAGTTTCAGGCTGTGTTTTGTCAAACTTGCGAGTTGCACCAGCAGAGCCCCGACTGAGCTCGAAGTTGCAGAAGTATCATGTATGTGCCTCAGGTGACTCCCTCGACGTCGTCATACGGCAGCGTGATCCATGCGTGCTCAAAGGATCCCTGACTGATGCAAGTCACGAGATATAGCGGGAAGATGCAGGAAGACCTTCGTACAACGGTCGTTCTTTCTCATTCCAGTTGTCATCTCATCCTGAGGCGTACCAGTAGGTTTCTGTAGCGCCCCAGCAAGAGCCCGAAGTCCCCCCGAGGCATTTCGAGCCTGCCTGGGGTCAACTCAAAGGCACCCTTCTCCCCACCGCTTCTCCCAGGAAGGACACGTGGACAAGGCTGCCCTTCTTCTTGCGACGCTCGCCGGCGATTGCTACTGTTATAGACCTCCGCTTTGAACTGCAAACTCTCCACTCTTTCTGCCGCGAAGGAATGACCAAAAACTTGAGAAAGCCACGCGGCAACGCTTCAGCCCACATTTGCAAACGAAAGGCTTTTGAACTGCAAACTTCATGCTCTCATATACAAAGAAAAAACGTCCTTTCCATCAGCGACACAGAATCCATCACCGGAACACTGCAGTTAAGTCGGGCAAGCATCCCATTTTGCCATGCAGGTCATCGTGCATTGTCAACTCGCGTTGTTGTTGTGCGCATGCATCCGTGCGCACGTGCGCAGGCCTGGCAGGGAATTGTTTGTCTAATTGGGTTGCAATCGAGACCATGCTATGCCGCCACCTCTCAACTCAGGAAGCTTAGAGCAATGGAGTGTTCGCCAGATGGCAACCTGGCCCGATTCATTTTCCGGAATCTCACTGTGTCTACATAGTGCGATGTCCGAATCGATTTGCGCTTCCGAGTTGTCTCGTACGGCAGCGTCATAAACGGCTTTGCGAAGGCAGGAATGCCGCAAGAGTAAAACTACCGTGCTTCTGGCCTGCAAAGACTAGATTCACCAGAGGACAGTTGGAAAATGTCGCAGGCTGGCAGACCGGAAGACATTGGACGCCTTATGGAGGACATGGATGCCTCGTGCTTAGCTGAATGTCACACTTCTTGACAACCTGCACGATCGCTATGGCTTTGCCTTTTACTGGCAACGAGCTCTACACCTGTCGCATCTTGTTCGTGTGAGAAGCTCCAGTTTATGAGCCGTGCCAAGGAGGATGGAGTGCCAGTCGATGTGGTCATGCACAACGGCATGCTTGAGGCGCGACGAATAAAGTCGGGTGTTCTTCTCAACTGCTTCAAGCGTCACTCTTACCATGTGGTCGGAATCCGACTCGGCAGGCTCTTCTGAAAACTGGGAGGGTCGATGATGCCTTTGACTGGCTGGTTTCGATGATGGCTCCGGAGGCGTGAGACCGAGCTTCAGCAGGTCGCCGCATGTCGCGGCGCTTGCACATGAATCGTGTCTGTATGAGGACGATTCAAGTGGATCGAGGAGCGTGCCCGTTCTTTGCTGTGCAAAGAAACAACCGCAGAGACGGCGATGAGAGTGTTTTCGTATGTAGCGGAAGGAGTCGCGAAGATCGGCCAAATATTTGGTCCTACACCAAAGTCGCCGGAGCGCGCCGGCCTCAGATCTCCTGTAACGTTGCCGGATACTGGAACTTTCTTGGCATCGCTCCTGTTCTGTGGTTGCTGAGGTTAGCCAGGCAAGGCCGCACCAGCGCTGTGTCATCCCTGTTGAAGGCCTGGGCTTCATTGCACTGTACTGCTGGAGGGCTTGGGCATTGAGGCTCATGCAAGGGTTCAAGAAGCGATGAACCGGCGCTTTGTAGTTGAATGATGCTAGTCAGTTTGCAGAAGGAATGAAGGATGGTGACTCTGTTTCAGTTCGGCCGGCTTAGTCAGGTTGATCCGTTTGCCCCTTCTGGGCATCCTTGGCTGTGCACGTTTTCTCATTCCATGGAAGCCTGGGAGCAGGGTGAATAGCATGTTTCAATCTTGAAGAGCCTCTTCGAAATGCGAGACCATGGACCAGATGAACGTGAAACCTGCAATTCGACTCCACGACCGAATTCTTCGAGGTGCATGTCACGACATGAGGAGGATTGGCACTGTCAAGACTTCAAAGAATTTTGGGAGATGAGGATTCCGGTCTTCGGCAGTTTGGCCTTGCCAATTTGGCTTGAGGCCTCCTCTCTGCAAAGAAGCGTGCAGAGGCCTACAGGCCGGACACTGCAGACTCTGCAAGTACGGGCGAGGGTGTCAAATGCTGCTATCCTATCTGCCCTGCATAGATGGACTCCCTGCTGCGCTGATCGCAGCAATTCTGCTCCGAGGGGAAGACGAGCGGCTTGCCATGTGTCACTAGAGCTTGAAGGTCTGGCCCGAAACACAGGCAAAGCTGAGACACTATCGGATTCATATTGAGTCCTTTGCCGCTGCCTTTCGACGTGCAGGTGGCTGCGACAAGTTGTAAGGCGGGCTCTGACCGAAATTGTCAGATGGCATCCAGGATGGGCGAGTGGAGAGAGCTGTTTGCCGACACGTCGTTGTGCACAGCAGATGAATAAGCGAGCATAGCACAATCCATCAACATTTAGGAGGAGAGATGTCGGTCAAATGACATCTTGTGCGATGAGAGGTCTGGCTTAGATTTCGATGCGCAGTTCGTCACACTGGCGGCTTGGATGCCACCAGCGACAACCGTAGCCTCCGTAGCCAGTCCATCCTCACTTCATGATGGAAGATCAATAGCCAGTCGGTCGGCACGCAACAGATCTCAACAGAGCCTCGGGCTTCGACTCAAGCACTCAAGCGCTTGGCGTTGCAAAGAGACGCCACGATCGAGGCTCTGGATGTGTGCATACAAACCGGCTCCTTCACAGAGGCTGCCGGTGCAGTTGTTGACACAACATGCGCACTGTGGTGATTTTGGTGACCCACATCCAGCTGCCGAGCTTGCTTCTTGCATCGGTATGCCAGGCATTCGCTTGGCTGAACGGCATGGAGGACTGTCTCCTTTGCACCTTTCGGTGTGTTTCCTGAGTCACTTGCAGCGCGTCCAGCCAGGATGCCGGCATTGATCCACCTACTGAAGGCGCGTCCCTTCGCAATGGCGACAGAAATCGAACTTCACGTTCACCAAATTAGCTTCTAGAGCGATCATGGGCTATCCACTACGTAGGATAGTGCCAAGACTTCGGAAATCGGCCGGCGACTTGCTGTTGTATCCAATGTCTCCTCTCGTTCTGTCAGACTGTAAGGGAGATTCACAAAGGGCATAGCCTGATTTCTGGTACATAAAGCATAACATACATGTGACAGGCAGAGGGGCCGTTTCCTTCTTCGTGAAAGCCGTGACGGTGTGCACCATGGCACGACCCTCTGAGTGCAAGGCATGACTCGTGTGTTGCGGTGTAGAGCCAATCGACAGAGCATACTTGCTGCCATTTCTACACGTAGGAGCAATACTTCGGACGTCCTATGAAAGCATCGATGCAGGGTTGCTTCTCAAGAAGTCCAAGGTCGAGTCTTTCGATCAGGCTTCCCGAAGCAATGTTTGTACGGAGACACGCGGCCACTGTTGAGGCCAAGCGTCTCCAACAGGGCCTCGATTGGCTAGAGCGAGCCGAAGCTGCAAACTTGCGCCGTGGCTGCAAGTCAGACGGGCCCATGCCTGTCGCACCAAGCAGCTGGCAAGCTGGCATTTCGAGACTTTTCCTTGATACCCAGCATCTCAGGAAGTCTACGCCAGACGAGGCCGCAAGCCCCAGCTTGCTTCGACATGTTTGCTGACAGAGAGGAGATAATTATCCTGCATCCCCGGACATGTCATGTCGTAACGAAACACATACAGCGAGTGTGAGAAAAGTGTTTAGAATCACATCGACATTCACTGCTTGCTTCAAACTTTGTTATGCAACGTCAGAGATATCCGTGAAACGATTGAACAGGATGCTGAGGACGCCAACTGACAGGCGCACGAGCCACTTTCGAAGCGCATCGTTTCGTCATTCGTCATCAAGGTCGACATCGCATGAGGTTATGTATATGCATATGACATATATGTTGTATATGTATGTGTATATATATATATGTATGTATATGTATATATATATATATACACACATATATTCTCCCCTTCCCATCATCCTCCCGCGCCTGCTTTCTGTAAGCATAAATGGAAATATAAACGACCGGTATATAAATACATATATGTACATAATATATGCACAGGTCCCAGGTCTAGGTAGAGACAGCGCCCCAATCGAGGCGCTGATAATCTCAAGACTGCAGGGATCTGCCCGGCGCAAGTTGCAGAAACCCGCTCTTAGCAGGATGGTCGCTCGTCCACGGGCCCGCGAGGCACGTCTCCTCTGGGGTCCACCAAACTGGATTTCCAGGACTAGAGATGATAAGATGTTCGATTCCAAGCCACACAGTCCGCTTTTGGGATTTCGGCCGCGTGCATCTGGGCTTAGATTTGAGTCATTGAACCTGAACCGGGAGAACGTGGTGTAGTCCGAGTACGGGTCTCAACTCCCTACAATCCTGCACCAGCCGAACGATTGGCTCATTTCCCGGCAGTCTTGCCGCGGCCAGCCTTTCATGCCTGTGTACATCTACTTTACCAGCACCTGTGGTCGTACTGTGTTGACGAACTCCAGACATCCGGTTAGGTGCACCGCTTTGAACTGGTGCCAGACATGATTCGTTCGCCGAGGCATTCCCTTGCGGCCGGCATATGTCGCTCTGATGCAGGCAAGGGCCATAGATGGCCATGGCCAATCACGGCACAAATGCGCCAGTGAAAGCCGTCGGTCTTGTATGACTTCGAACCTAAAGTGCGGCATTATCCAATTCGTCGGGACCAATCGCAGGCGTTCGCACGGGCGCAGAATGCAGAACAGGCCAAAGACCTCCTCGTGCGACTGGAGGCGTGGTTCAGTTGGCTTTATTTCCGAATTTCCGGGGCTTGCGTGGCTCCCGCCGCCGCCGATGGTTCATTGCATCCTTCCCGATAATCGCAAGCATATTGTGTCAGCCGTTCCCATGCTTTATCTACATCCGAGAAGCTTGATATCGGCCAGGTGCCGCGATACCCCCCTGACAATCCCAACTGTTGAGCCACTCGAAACACGAACTCGCATCATCTCGCATCTCTAGGCCGAGGAGGGGCAAGTGGACACCATGGCACGAACGACTCTCATCGAAGAATTTGCCAGCCCCGGACTCGGGCATTTGAGGCTTCATGGAAGGCCCATCTGAGGCCTAGATCGCCCTCCTAGTCTGGAGCCGCCCATCATGCCGAGGAGGTCCAGGGAACACATGTGCATGCAGGCAAGTGTATGCAGTATGCACATGTATATATATATATATATAAGCACATAGACATGCATACATGTTTGAGTGACTAAGTGAATCAGTTATTGGGTGAGGGGCTGGGTGTCCCACACTCGTTTCCTTGGCTGGTGTCACCCGTGTGATTTTTGACAGAACAGCAGGGATAGAGAAGCGATGCCGGCAGCTTTACAGAGGAAGAAGTTGCTGGGTCCATCATACTTGTAGCAACAACCATGTCGCAGCACGACCACCGAAGCCGCCACAGCCACGCGAATTCCGAGCGTCGTGTCTTGTGACACTTCAGGCCACGACAGTCCGGAGGCCGGGCCAACCTGTCGTTCTGACACTCGGAGTTCTCCAGTGATTTCTTTTGCGTGCTGAGAAGCTGCGCTTGGCGTGTACTGGCAAGCCCTCCCTTTCCCCTGCATTCTGTATTCCGATGTTGTGGTGATGCCATTAAGCCCTGTAAGCTTAAGGAGCGATGAGCCACTTGCACTTTCCTTGATACTTCGATGCACACCTCGCGCCTTGAGTTATTTTTTTTGGCGAGGAGGCCCGGCAGCTCACACAGCAGCTTGAAGAGGCATGATGGTTTTCGGTTGCGGTATTCCTACGTAGAATTCATATTTTGCAGGAGGATGTGGACTAATTAATTGCTGTGGGAGTTAATGTTCGCTTCGATCCAGAAGTGAAGACACGATATGGGTGGGGATGGACACGGGGGTCTCTCCAAGTTCTTGACACCAGCTGATTTCAGCCTGATTTGCTAGTCTTTCGGAAGTGCTTCGTGCCCCTGGACCCCACGTTGCCAACAACTTGTCCTGCTGCTGTTCAGCATGGCCAGAGGATGGGAACCTGACCGTCCACGTTTTTGGACGGGTGATATCCGCCTGCGCGAAGGCAGCGGAAACAAGAGACCCATGCAGAATGCTGCAGAGTCCATTGGAGTGTGAAGGGAATGTTTGCTTCCGCGGCTTCTGCTCGTGGTGCTGACAACAGTCCTATTGCTGCGGCAACTCAGAGTGCTTTGGCTACCCGGGCCGGGCCCTGCGACAGGCGAGCAAGACTGACGAAGCAATCCAGTGGTTCGATGCCGCCCGGATGCACCGGTCCTTGTGAAGACATGCAGCCGCCGAGGCTGTACTGCCCAGGTCAAGTGAGCTACTGGTACTGTAGTGTCAGCAGTAAATTTTCCGTGCTAGTTGTGTGTGTGTGTGTCTTTGATGGTTCTAGCAGCAACATGAACTATGCTGTCGCCAGCCTGCATTTGCAAACCCTTGGACATCCGAGAACATGGTCTCCGCCACTGTCGAACCAGATGCAGTCGCTTGGAATGGAAACTTGGCGGCAAAGGGAGTGTCCTCACCTTCTCCGCAACCCTGAACTCATACATAAATGTATGACGTTGGCTTCGTCTGGATTGTTTTGGCTTGTGTGCCTCAACTCAACGCTCTGGTGCACAAGGCTATGTCAGGATGTCATCTTGAGAGAAAGCCGAGGCATCATCAATGCCTGTGCCAGGCCTGTCCTCGCTCGGTCGGATATTCATGCAGTTCTGCTCTGGCAAGATCCTGCAGGCTTTCAAAAGTACGATCCTGCAGAGTATCAAAACTCTTTGTGCAAGCTTGGCTTTTTGGAATGCTGCTGGCAGGGTCGGGCGAGTCACAGAAGCTGAGATGTGGCTCGGTGATTGCCCCAAGCTGCACCACAAGAGAGGGCTTCACGAGGTTCTGCATGTGGGTAACGACTCAGAAACACTCGTGACTATCTCAGGATCCGTCTGCAGCACTAGACCATGCATACGTTCAGCAACGACGTCCACCCTTGCCTGCAGTGCTTCAAGACAGTGCTAGACAGGTGAAATGGAGGCCTCGGGCATCACTCCCGATGTCTTTTCCTACACCACTGCCGCTTGCCCAGCACATCGCGGTGGGCTGTCGGACTTGACTTTTTGGTAACACTAGTTGCATGCCAGAGACTGCTAAGCAGGAGGGTTTATCTAGCAACCTACAACTAGCCACAGAGGTTCATTTTGCCGGAGTCGTCTCGGGGCCCGGGTTCTAACTCAGTGTAACTCCTGAAAGCTTTTGAGAAGCATGGCAGCTCTCGGAGCCGACTAAGGTCATCAATGCTTGTGCCCAGTCGGGTCGACCTCAGGAGGCTGGGGCAGATGACGGACAGAGTCTAGTCGTGGCGGAGCATCCTCAGCCTAAGAGCCAGTCGTTGTCACGGAGTCTTATGCCTACACTCGCCGGCTGCATCCGACAGGCTCAAAAGCTACGGGCAGTATTGTTCCGGTGCCCAGACCCCACAGAGGCATCCCCAGGCCTCAAAACCCTCATAAAGGAAGGCCGAAGCATGCGCAAAGCAGCGCCCAGGAAGATCTCCGCTTGTCGTGGTTAAGCACGAATTCAGGATTGATTTCAGGCACTACTCGGGTATTGTCCCTTATGACAGTTAAATGCTGCCAGGTAGACTCTTTGTTCGTGCAGTTGAGCGGCTCGAGATGGATGGCGATGTCGTTCCTGGCTCCTGGCTCGCCGACCACATCCGGGACAGCAAGGGCGACCAATTTGAGGCCGCATGATTAACTTACGGTAGGGAGCACAGAAGTGATCGTAGAATGTTGCAGAGGAGCACAGAGTAGTGTAGAATCGTTGCATGCAGGCATCACCCACGAACAGAACATTCGCAGTTCAATCATGCTGATCAGCCTCGTGGCTCCCGTAATCTTCGTGGCTCATGCTCCACATGCCGACGCAAGCATGAGTCTTGAATTTGCACGGTTCGTGCGTGAATGGCTTGAAATATCCTGAAACCCAGCTTAGTGCTGGCTGAAAAAGAGAGAGGAAAACATGCTTTGCGGAGTCCAGAAATGCAGCCTCGAAACTTTTTCCTTACCTACTTTCCAGCAAACCTGGGACCGACATGGGGACACTGGGTGCCCACGTCCCAGGCGCCAATTGTCATCCAGTGCTTTGAGATCGGCTCGAAGCTCAGCGGTTCGCACTTGGGACGTCCTCCAAGACACTAAACGCTTTGAACATGTTTCCCAACCTGAAACTCTCCGTTCAACTTATTGGGGCTGCCACCGCTACGTCAAGGGGAACGGTCTGTTTGGAGTTGAGAGCGCCCACACGTGAACCGAGGAGGTTTGCGATATTGCCAAGAAGAGGCAGTGGAAGCAAGCACATTGGCAAAATTACTTCAACTCAAGCAGACTCAAATAGGCGAGTTTGGCATGAACAGCAGCATGCTGCTGCCGTATCGCATCGTGGGAGGGTTTTGGAAGACAGGACTTTGGATCTTTCATTTACTGCTGCAGTGGGTAGCACGGCGATCTTGACACAGCTTAGTTTCGAAGGCACTGCGCCTGCTACATCAAGCATCCAGTTGCACGGCCCAGGCCGATCTGGTGACCCGGCTGCAGGTGCTCTGCGCGTTCGTAACTGGAATAAACGAATAGGGATTGCAGCAGCCTAAAGTCTCTAGATGAAATTCACGAGCGGCTTTGACATCATGCTAATCCCGCATCCGTCTTATCGCAGCTTCTTTCGAACAACTTGCATCAGTGAGGTTTGCTTCAATGCGACCATCAGCGCTTGCGGCAAAAGCAAGCTGTGGGAAACATCGTTGTCCGTGCTGGCTGACATCGACAGGTGCCCAATGGTAGCCAACTGCAAAACATGTCGTAATCCATGCATGATGCACGAGCGAACAGTTGCTGGCTTACTGCCTCGCACCGATGTCGGGAAGGAGAGTCGAACATGGCCACAACCCCCTCGACTGCAGGGAATGTTTGCAGAAGGACCTCTTCAGCTACAACACATCTTTCAGCGCCATTGCTGTGGTTGAGCTGCTCAGCAAATTCAATGAGCAGCAGGAGTGCGCCAAGACTTTAAGTCTCATAGGTGGTTCGTCTTTGGGGGGCCCACTAAAAGCCTTCGCTTGATGCTTCGGGCACCTCAGTCTCAGGCAGTGGCGATGGTCCCTTCACCTGCTTCATGACGTGAAGGCCACGCAGGGCCTCAGCATAATCTGGACTGCACGGGACGCCACATGCCAGCAAGGATCGGCCAGGTACAATATAAGCTTGCCGCATGTTCAGGTAAGACACCTGCGCAGCGACATCATCAGCTTCAATACCGCTATCGATGGTTGTCAACGGAAGTGGGGCCTGTCACTAGCCATCTTGGCCAAGATGTCTCATCAGAATCTCGAGCCAGACGTCATTGCCCATGACACTGCTGCTGTTTTGCAATGGCGGTGCCTGCACGTGCTCCACCGCGCGGTTTTGCTGTCCTGAGGCCATCAGCTCCTCTGAGAAAGGGAACTACTGGGATCGTGCCCTGGATTTGCTACGGACCCTCGAGGCCAGTTTTTCTCGTGAACAATCTAAGTCGTCATGGTGATCACTTCGATTGTTCGGGGCTGGGCTAGTATATTTAGGGGCTGCGCCCAGGTGCGGGCAGCGCGAGCTGTTGTCAGAAACCCGCGGTATATAGATAAGTGCAACGTAGGCCCGAAGTGCGCAACTTGTGGGTGATCGTAGGCTCTCAGCCCCCGTCGGCCCTGCATGTAGCCCGCACCCCCCGTCCGCCGGACCCCGCTGATGCTCATGATGCGCGCCCTTTGGCGGCTTCCGCAACCCACTCAAAAACTTGGGAGTTATGACTTCGCGCCCACGTCGCGCCGCCGGCGCCGGTTGCGGGCGCCCGAGGGCTCATGATGCTCGCCGGCTCGCCTCCTGGCGTCGTCCACGGCGGCCCCGAAACCCGCCACACGGCGGGGAATGGCTGCAAAACGCGTGCGCGTTCCGAGACGCCTTCGGGCCCCCCGCGCGGCCCGAGGGAGAAACGAGGGTCCGATGATGCGGGGTCCGGGGCGGGTCGGCGGCACTGTCGGTCGTGGCTTCTGCTTCGCAGACGAAGCTCATTCGTCTGAGCCATAGCTCAGTCCATACAGGGCAGCGAAGCGCTGCCCGATTTAATGGCTGCCGCCAGTGCCGCCGACCCCTAAATGCATAAAGTTTTATTCCGGATTCATAGTACCCTAGATCTTAGGTGTTATAGAAATGAAGCCTTAGAGGCTGCTGGGACCAAGGCGGCGCACGTGCTGCGTCAAACGGAAAGCACGGGCGCGGCGAGTGCGAGCAGATGAGAGCCGTGTAAAACCAAGCAAAAGACTACTAAAACAAGCCCCAGAAACAGCTGGAAGTGCAGCTGAGAGCAGTGTCGAACCAAGCCAAAAACCCCCTAAAATTAAGGCCTCTGGTGCCGAGGAGGGCCGGGGAGGGCGAGTGGTGCCGGGAAGGGGTGGGGCAGACATTGGGGTGCCTTCAAATTACTGTAGTACCAAAAATTACTCGAGTACCACTGAAAGACCACTAAAACAAGCCCCAGAAACAGCTGGAAGTGCAGCTGAGAGCAGTGTCGAACCAAGCCAGAAACCTCTAAAATTAAGGCCTCTGGTGCCGAGGAGGGCCGGGGAGGGCGAGTGGTGCCGGGAAGGGGTGGGGCAGACATTGGGGTGCCTTTAAATTACTCTAGTACCATAAATTACTCGAGTAACACTGAAAGACCACTAAAACAAGCCCCAGAAACAGCTGGAAGTGCAGCTGAGAGCAGTGTCGAACCAAGCCAAAAACCCCCTAAAATTAAGGCCTCCGGTGCCGAGGAGGGCCGGGGAGGGCGAGTGGTGCCGGGAAGGGGTGGGGCAAACATTGGGGTGCCTTTAAATTACTCTAGTACCATAAATTATTCGAGTACCACTGAAAGACCACTAAAACAAGCACCAGAAACAGCGGGAAGTGCAGCTGAGAGCAGTGTCGAACCAAGCCAAAAACCCCCTAAAATTAAGGCCTCTGGTGCCGAGGAGGGCCGGGGAAGGCGAGTGGTGCCGGGAAGGGGTGGGGCAGACATTGGGGTGCCTTCAAATTACTCTAGTACCATAAATTACTCGAGCACCACTGAAAGACCATTAAAACAAGCCCCAGAAACAGCTGGAAGTGCAGCTGAGAGCAGTGTCGAACCAAGCCAAAAACACCTTAAAATTAAGGCCTCTGGTGCCGAGGAGGGCCGGGGAGGGCGAGTGGTGCCGTGAAGGGGTGGGGCAGACATTGGGGGTGCCTTTAAATTACTCTAGTACCATAAATTATTCGAGTACCACTGAAAGACCACTAAAACAAGCACCAGAAACAGCGGGAAGTGCAGCTGAGAGCAGTGTCGAACCAAGCCAAAAACCCCTTAAAATTAAGGCCTCTGGTGCCGAGGAGGGCCGGGGAGGGCGAGTGGTGCCGGGAAGGGGTGGGGCAGACATTGGGGTGCCTTTAAATTACTCTAGTACCATAAATTACTCGAGTACCACTGAAAGACCACTAAAACAAGCCCCAGAAACAGCTGGAAGTGCAGCTGAGAGCAGTGCCGAACCAAGCCAAAAACACCCTAAAATTAAGGCCTCTGGTGCCGAGGAGGGCCGGGGAGGGCGAGTGGTGCCGTGAAGGGGTGGGGCAGACATTGGGGGTGCCTTTAAATTACTCTAGTACCATAAATTATTCGAGTACCACTGAAAGAGCAACAGAAACAGCGGGAAGTGCAGCTGAGAGCAGTGTCGAACCAAGCCAAAAACCCCTTAAAATTAAGGCCTCCGGTGCCGAGGAGAGGCCGGGGAGGGCGAGTGGTGCCGGGAAGGGGTGGGGCAGACATTGGGGTGCCTTTAAATTATACTCTAGTACCATAAATTACTCGAGTACCACTGAAAGACCACTAAAACAAGCCCCAGAAGCAGCTGGAAGTGCAGCTGAGAGGCCTCTGGTGCCGAGGAGGGCCGGGGAGGGCGAGTGGTGCCTTATTTCCAAATTCTGTTTCAGTATGTTCCCACCATACGTCATATATTCCTGGAGCGAAATATATTCGACTCAAATAAGATTCGGAATCACAAATCAATGTATGTGTTGCCAATGAAGATAGAAAGCTCATTCAGATGCGCGGCACTCACTTTTTTTAAAAGGTCTGGCGAAAGCCGTCGCTCGGGGGATTCCGAGAAGTCGAGACGAAGTGAGATGGTCCCTCCACCGAGCATCCACGATGCTCTGCAAAATGTACAGCAGTACATCATGCACGGTGCATTCGCAATGCACACATCGGATAGTCAGCAATTGACTCATCCCGGGGAGGGCGGGCGGGACAAAAATTTTCCGACTTGATTCGGAAAGCTGCGAGTTGCTTTCATCATAACATGTTGAAATGATGTTTGTCGCAACAAGCATGTGAGAAATCGTTGGTTCAAAACGCGTGTTGCAAAAGAAAAGGGGGAACAAAAGGAAAAACTCCCGTTTTTCCTTTCAAACAAAATTTGGAAATAAAACCCTGTCAATCACGATTGAAGGGTGGCTTATTTCCAAATTCTGTTTCAGTATGTTCCCACCATACGTCATATATTCCTGGAGCGAAATATATTCGACTCAAATAAGATTCGGAATCACAAATCAATGTATGTGTTGCCAATGAAGATAGAAAGCTCATTCAGATGCGCGGCACTCACTTTTTTTAAAAGGTCTGGCGAAAGCCGTCGCTCGGGGGATTCCGAGAAGTCGAGACGAAGTGAGATGGTCCCTCCACCGAGCATCCAGGATGCTCTGCAAAATGTACAGCAGTACATCATGCACGGTGCATTCGCAATGCACACATCGGATAGTCAGCAATTGACTCATCCCCACGGAACCAATGCAGACTTTGCGATGCTCAGAGCATCCACTTCGAATCGCCGACCAAGGCTTTCGTCTGTGATTCCTCGCGATGGGTCGTCTGCTATGTTCGACGCGGTATTGACTCTTTCGAACCAAGGTATGCAACATGCTGCGTCAATGGCATCATGAGTGGCATCCACGATACGCATCCCGACGGAGTTGTCGGAGGCTCCTTTGATCATGCAGGCACGAGTGCCTTCGTTGTCCGAGAAAACGACAGTGTTGCATCCTTTAAGGAGTCCTCTCCAAACATGCATGCACATAAGTACCGCCAAACACTCGCATTCGAAGATGGGGTTCTTGCTCTCGGGACCAACGAGAAGTCGTAGCTCATCAGAGGCCCACTCGCTAAAGTGCCCAACTTTCGTCCCATTGTCTGAGATAAGAACTCCTCCAAGACCGATGCGATCGTTGTCACAAGAAGCGTCCACATACACATGCCAAAGATGCAAGACGTTGGCACTCAGAGCCATCGGGGGCCCTTCAAGAAATCTGTCCCTTAGGAACAGTAGTGCAGCCCTCAAATTGTCTCCGATGCTAGGGCTTCGTTCCGTAAGATGTTTGGACAGGATCTTGAATGCGATGCCAGCCTTCTTCCCAGCAACCTGGTTGGCGGCAAATTGCAGGCGGCCCCTCAGCTTCTCGCAGTCTTTCCTAGCCAGCACCCCTTTTTCGATGATAGAAGAAAGACTCTCCCTCAGCTCCTCGCGTCGAGCCGTCGTATTTCTCATGTAGAAGTTGCCGAGGTAGGATTCACGCAAGTCAAACTCCAGGCCTAAGACTTTTGCCACGCTTCCGAAGATGGTAGGCTTGTCTGGAGACGTGTCCCAGCCAAGGATCTGAAAGAGCGATTCAGCGCAAAGGTCAAAGAGCCGTGTAAGTGGCGGGACTTCGTTGCCGACAAAGTCGTCGTAATACACTGACCACATCAAAGCCAGCTGAATCGCCCCAATCGTCCAGATGCCAAGCGAAGTTCTGCAGAACGAGTGGACCGACGCACGAGCGCCGAAGGGCAACACGCACTGCTCGTAGATCTCTGCTTTCCCCGACCGGGGGTTGTACACTGAGAGATAAGCTTCTTCCACCGCCGAAGTGCTCAAAGGAAGATTCTTATACGCCTTGTGTAGGTCATAAGATTTCATCTCAAGCCCGCCGTGTCGTCGGCACTTTGGGTCGCGCTTGAGACGGTAAGCAATGGAAGCGGCGATTGCATCCGCCGTGTGCACAGTCACCGAGTCTTCGGCTGAAGTCGTCGAGTTAACCCCAGAGGCCTTGAAGTCATCTATAGGCCTACACTTGCCGCCCTGCCAAACGCCGAAGCGGCGCGAGAGAACAGCATTGGGACCTAGCGACGCAGGATCGATAGGTCCTCGCAACCACCCCTTGGCGACCTCCTTGTCAGTGGCTGCCATGAGGGCCTCATCAAGTTCTGGGTCCCCGGAACTTTTGGTGGCGAGAAGAGTTGCTTCCCTCATCACAGCCGCAGAGCTCCGGAGGTCAGAGACGGATAAAGAAGCGGGTGACAACTTGGGGCGATATGCTGGATTCCTCGGGATCGCACCACTGAGGTCAAAACCCTTGGCGATGTCATTCGCTATCTCTAGGTCTTCGTGGCCACACTCCTCGAGCATGGTCCTAAAAAGGACCAGCCGCTTCCGACCCAGG